CACCTGGGCCTCCTCTCACCTGGCACCGCACGCAGCCCTGAGGCAGCCGCACGGCACCCGCAGCCTTCAACCGCTGCATCTCCAGCCATTCAGCTGCTCCTACTCAGATCCACAAAAGACTTTCTCCACTTATTTATAGACTTATTTATCTATTTTTTTCTATTTCTTCACATATGTATTATTCTACCTCTTCACGTGTTTATGCCACTGTAAATAAAGACTTAAGACAAAACACTTGATATTACCTCTTCCCTCTAGGATTTCAACCATTCTTTGCAATAGTGCAAAGCCATGTCCTCCCAACACCGCTCAAATCTGTGCTGCATGTAAGACTCCAAATATCTCTTGCTCTCTCTTCTCGCTCATACCTGCCCAAGCAGCATCTTGCAGCAGTATCTTTCGAGAAACATCACTAGGTGTTAGATATTATGTTCAGAATTATGTCTTAGTCTTTCTTTCCTCAGTAATTTGCAACTCTCTTCCCAATTATTGTATCCGAAAGCCTCATGACAGTGAAGGCACGGTCTTACTGGAGAAATTCCACTAGAGGGCCAGAAACACTAGCAGAGCATCAGAGCATTTCTGCTACGAAGATATATGACAAGGTGTTAGTTAGACTGGAGAAGGCTACAGGAAGATCTTACTGCAGCCTTTTAACATTTCAATCAACCTTACATAAAAGGAGCAAACTAATTTTGAACAGCATTTGCATTGACAGGCAGTGGTCTATAGAGAATATCTCTAAACTGAAAGATAGTATGCTTATATGAGGCATTCGGGAGAAATCCTCTACTATGAGGATTGTGAACAAGTTCTAGAGCTAGCTAGATTACCACACCCCTGGAAGTGTTCAAGGCCAGACTGAATGGGGCTTTGTGCAATGTAGTCTAGGAGAAGGTTTCTCTTCCCATGTCAGAGCTGCTTGCAATTAGATTGCCTCTTTCAACATAAACTATTTACTACTTGTGTTGAGGTTTTGGAGGACTGTGGAACCAAAATGGGAATAGGAAGAGTGTCGAAGAGGAAGAGTGTAGAGGAGGAAGGTATAGAAGTGTGATGGCACAGAAGGCAGTCCCATTCCCCATCCTCCTATGCCACCTGGGAGATGAAGGTAGAGAAAATCATGAGTGAAACTAAGTCCAGGAAAATATGAGAGGTGAAGGGAAGATGTTCTGTAGATGTGGTTTTATTTCATTATCTACTTGCTATCTGCCCTGATTTGACTGCTAAGATGTTAAACTAATTTCCCCAAGCCAATGCAGTAATTTTGCCCATTACTGCAACCAGCAAATAATTTCTCCCAGTACTTATCTCACTCCACATGCCTTTCAGGATGTATTTTCTCCCTGGACGAGATGAGGTGGGGAGTGATAGAGCACCGTGGTGGTCACCAGGCATCTAGCTACTGTTAACACAATAAAATATGTGTCTCCTGGTCCTGCTACTTCAAATATTTTGCATCTTATTGCCACAATGATAATTCCGTGCATTTCAGTTTACAGTTCTTCAAGTACCACAACTTTCTCTGGTAAAAGTCTTTATTCACGTGCTCATCTTTGGAGCTTTTTTAATTCAGGGTCTGCAGTATGACAGGGCTTTGTCTCAGTCATCCCTGGTACTCACCTTTAAACTATCTGACTCTGGCTGCTGCAAACTCTACATGGAATACCTTGTACTTATTTGGGCCTTGCATTACGGCATTCATCCAGTCTTCTCAGATCACTCCTCACTGCTCCATTTCTGCCTCCACAGATACACCGCATCACTCTAGTATGTAACTGTTCTCAGCTACCTACTACCAAACTGTCTCTCCAAGTTCCTTATCCTACATTTCTGATAGGAAAACTCTTTATCATTTTGCAATCTAGATTGAGGCCCTTTTTCAATCTATTTGGGAGCTCAGCCTGTCTCATATGCCATTTGTATTCTGGATCCAGATAAGGAAAAAAACTTTGTACACTCTCCCTCCTGCAGCTCACCTCCATTTGTTGCCATGATGCATATGCAAACATCTATACCTATGACCACATCCAAAATCTCAGCAACACCTACTGGCTACCAACCTGTGTACTTGATGTTCAACCTTACCTCTTTGTAAAACAAACACTTAGGACTTCAACTAGATTAGACAAAATGTCAAAATGCTGCTACAAAAATTAGACATTTCTCCACTCAGGAGCACAGAGTACACTTGTGTCTATTTAGAGATTTTGCAACTGGACAGATGCATGATGGAACAGTTGCTCTGTATCAATTTACACAATCCTTGTATAAATTTCAAAAGAAAGAATACAGAACACAAGGAAAATCTCTTAACTACCGTTCAATGAATCAATTTATGTGGCACAAATGATCAACAGTGAAGACAACTTCTTTAAAATTAAGTAAGTCATTTACTTACCATTGGCAGTCTGGATTGAAGCATCTGGAGATCATCATAACCATAAATCTGCTTAAAGACAGATAAAAATACAACATCATTATAACACTTTTTTCTGATGCTGATCAGTCTGGGGCTTTGAGCTGAGTTTGACTTAAGCCCAGTCTGTGTTAAAGGTCTACAGCTGTATGTCGCATTGTGCTATCATGGCGCACTGCAGCATTTCAAGGAGAGCAGAACTGAAGTTAAAAAGGCTTGTCACTCTGATGTTGTTTCCTAGTGACAATGTCCTCTGAGGAGAGTTTGACTGTCCCATCTTCAACACAGTTTTCACAGACACATCATTCCTGAACTTATGAAAAATCTACCGCGCATTCAGATTTGGGAATAAGAATAACAGCCCTCTTTGCTGTAATCATTACTTCAAAGAGCATTAAGATTAAGAGTTGATGACTTGACCACAACACAACCTCCTGGGTATCTCCTCACATTCAGTTTGATACAGAAAAATTACTGATATAAAGGTTTGGATTCAAAAAGCAGATAACCAAAAATACGTTGATGCTGGTCAGACATCAAAAAGCTAAGTCTTTCAAATCATGGCACATGTGTTCATGGCACATTTCAGTCACTGCTATGGCAAATCCATTCCAGTAACACAAACCTAAAGGAGCCTAAATTTATTCAAAGGGCCTAAAACCTGTTAACACTGAAAACCACAGCCACACACATGTTTAGCTTCAACAGCAGCCAGATCAGGCCTGTAGCAAAAGCTCTGCAGTTTACAATCAACAGTTAAGCCTCTACTGAACATATTTCAGATGTTCTTTAGCATTTGAAACAAGAATTCCAGGTGTAACATGTGCCACCAGAAATGACTTGGCATAGACAGTAGCAGGTCTGGAGGGCCCACTTGCGCCAAGGGCTAAGAAATCAAAGAGAAACAATGAAACTGCTTACTGGGTAGGCAGGCAGAAGTCCTCCAGGTCCCACAATATACTGGTTATGCAACAAGGGTGGTACACCTTGGGGCAGGTTTGGGGGTGCTTTGCCTGTAGAATCAAAATACAGACACTTTAACAAGCCTTTAGAAAAGAAAAGGCTTCAGCATTGAGACAAGACAGCTCACATGTTGTGGCAGATGCACCATCCTAGATTATAAAGAGGAGATTTTGTGCTGTTTGATGAATATGCTCAAAATAGCCTCAAGAGTTTAACCATGCCTCAAGGGAGGGAAAGCACAGGCTACTTTAGCTTGAAAACAGTCCTATCATAGAATAGCCTGAATTTGTAATTTGCTTTGTCCAAGAGGATTACAAGAATTACAAGATTACAAGAATTACAAGATTACCGAACTTCTCTTTTGCTCAGTTCTTTCCTGAAGGCAAATTTAGAAATTGTTCTCAACCTGAGAGAGCAAATTCTCTTCTTTCATTTCCTGCTCTGTCAATGCATTCCCTTTATCACCAGCAACAGACTGGAAAGCACTAAATGTTGCCAGCATACTTTCTGTGGGTGACTTACTACAGCTAGGAATAGCAAAGAGAAGACTGAAATGGTTTCAGCTGCCTTCATGAAGCAGTGCTAGGAAGCAGAACAGTAAAAGAACAATGCACTTTGGCCAGTCATAAGACACTTCATTTACGAGCTATAGAAATGAGAAATATTTCTGTAACTAAGCCCGATCCTTAGTAATACATCACTCACTTCTCTCTATAAGATTTCCTTTTAGCAGTTCAGGATCATCAGAGAAGAAAGATAATTTAGCATCACTTCTACTTCAGTGCAAGAAGCCTCCCAGCCCTCCTTCTCCATGAACCTTCCTTCTCAAGTGCTATTTGCTGTGCAATGACCCAGACATTTCTTTCCTTTCTGTGCAAGTGGCAGTAGGGATGTGACACATGATAATGAGGACACTGCAGTATATTTTGATACTGCTAAATGAATTCAAGTCACAGAACAGCCTGAAACTAAAGCTTATGTGAACTCATAGTCAGGAGCTGATCACAGCTTGGAATACAAACTGGGTGAATTTTCTAGCCCAAGACTTCCTAAGTCAGAACTGCTCTGGCATGTATTTATAAAGCTCTTTGGGGATGGAATGTGCTATATAAGTGCCACATAACACCCTAACAAGTATTTCAAATACATAAAACCAGGCAACTTTATTTCAGAAGCCAGCAAACACAGCATGCTGGAAATGTGAGTGAACAGTGTGGACTTCTTAGCGTTGTTATGGCGGGTGAGATGCTCAACTGACAGCCCTGCTGACTGAAATCCTCAGTCTATCCACGTGATCTGTCAATATTGCCAACCTGAAGACACTAAGGGAGCTGCCCGTGTGGTAGCAGCTGGTATAGACACACTGGTAACACTCAGGCCAAGGCTGTTTGTAGTGTTCATACTGCTTGCCATGCTGACAACCGAGGAGGTGGTGCTAGTGGCTGAGGTTGAAGCAGTTGAAAAGGTTGTTGAGGGCTGGAGCGAAGTTGTGTTCTCAATACTAGTGTGCTAGAAAAGGAGACAAAAAGAATGAGGATCACAGAGCAAATAAACCACAGTGGAAGATGCTGGGAAAAAGGGAAAAAAAACAAAAACAACAAAAACTTCTAAAGTAACAGCAGCTCATGCAAAAGATATGCATTACCTATGTACCAAGCAAGCAACTAAGTTGCATGCTTATGATGCTTTAGTGATTTAAAGAAAATTATTGTATGAGAGCTAAACTTAAATTGCCATACCATCACAAAATTATAATACAGTAACTCAAACGTAACATATATCATTCCATCACCTGCATTTTATCAGCAAACCTCTACAGTGCAGACTGTTAATAGTCCATATTTTGGAGACATTTCAGATTGCCACTTTAAAGTTTGTTTTTGTTATGTTTTGTAATAAACTAGTTATAAGCAATTTGTTTTTTATTTCATCCCCCTTAGGTGGCATGACAATTTCCCACAGCTGTGTGACTGGCAAGGCTCTGTCATAGCTATTCCTGATTTAGTACAAATACAAGTGGTAATCCCTTTTCCCCCACTAGAGGGTTGAGAGTTCTTCTTCCCTGAAGGCTCTACTTATGGGTCTTGGGGTTCTGAGACACAATCAACTTAAAAGAGATGGTCCTAATTATGAGATAAACTGACTATTTGCCAAGCACTCGTTTCAATACTAACAGGACTTACCACATGTGATGTGCCTGAAGACAACACTGAGGCAGGAGAGAGGCTGGTCTGATGGTTGGAAAGGGAACTGGAAGGAAATTGGGAAGAATTTATAAAATTAATTAATTTTCACTTTTAACAAATACAGATATGCAGTAGGGCATTAGTTAAAGAATTAGAATTCTAGGTGTGTGTGTATACCTACAGTAACAGAGAAGTTAAAGAAAAAAATTACATGTAAGAGTGTGTGTATACATATACACACACACAGGCATGTGTGCCTGTTTGAATACAGGCACCTCTACAGGCACTTTTTCCTTTAACTAGTACCCTACTTTTTTAGTGAAAAAAATCAAGTACAGATTATTATTAATAAAAAACATCTAAAACACCATTAGTATTTTTCAATTTACGGTATCTTTAGAAAAACTATAGTTGCTTCAGGAATCAAATAGCGATGACTCCATGACATATGAAGTCCAAAATCAAAACAAGGTTCACACAAGCACAAGCCTGGTTCCTCATTCTTTCTCTGCTGCTGCTTACCATGGGGGACAGGTTTAAAGTGAGGCAGTGCTTTGGTTTGACTCACTGTCTTGTTTCTCACATTTTGAGTTGCATAACATTAACTCAACCAAGTAGAACTGCAGGGTACTTGCCCCATAATTCATCCAGAGATCTTCAAATGTCTCCCTGAGAGGTGACTGAAACTGGCATTTGAACATTTAAACTGACGAGTTATACCTTATATTCGAGGTCAAAAATGTAACCTACTGTATGTTGTATGCAATAGACTGAACCAACACAGAACAAAGGTAACCAAATGAAGCTATAAAACGTGTATAGATTGGTGCTCAAAAAAATCCTTATTACTAAATAAGAAGCAGGAAAGATTGAGCAACAAAATTAGATTAGTGCTGTCTATGGAAATAGTCACAAGAAAATACAGTTTTCATACCAAAGTTGACATCTTCATTACATGACCTAATTTAAGGGCAAATACTTCTGGTAGCTCTTCAAGGCATGGGCCCAGAATAAACTTTCACAGTTTCATAGATTAACTTTCAAAACTGTCCCCCCTTTTGCAGGAATCGGAACAACATCACTTCAGCAAGGGAAAAAGTAAGAGTTTTATACCACTCCTTCACCCACTCTTCCCAGCTCTTTTGATAAGTCTTAATTCACCATCTGACCTATGGCAGAGACACAGACGACAACCATCAGCTCGACCAAGTCAGACACATTTTGGATTTCAGGCATCCCGAGGATGGCCGAAACTTTGTATCTGTCCAACAACATCGACCCCCAGCTGATTTCCATACGTTTATACAGCTTGTCAACAAATCATTGTGGGGATATGTGACCAATGTAAAGGAAATTGCTCTTGTTTGATATATTTACTATTTATTCAACAAAAAAATACTAGAGTGTTAAAAAAACCCCAACTATGTCCTAGCTGTAAAAAAGGGAAAAAACTCCCTGATATCCCAAATCAGTTTCTTGTATTAACAAATACAGTACAAAGGTAAGTATCAAAAATGTAACTCAATCAATACCGCTTCAGGATTGTCATCCCGATGCCTTTTTTGGGCTTCCTTAAAACCAGAGGTCAGACAAAATTAAGAGAATAAAAAGAGCAGATGAAGCCTCCACAGGGGCTACACCCAGATATGGATGACCAGTCACGAGTTCTCACACTTCTGTAAGTTTGGTCCATTTGCATATAGGCAGTTAATCTTTCAACTACAGCTTCAGGTAATGAAGTCATTTACCCCATGTTTACTCCCCACCACCTCACTTCTCTTTATACTTTCCGGGGCCTGAGACAGCAAGGTGTCCTTGAATGCCAGACCTAGAGAGGAATTGTTTAGTCTAACCAAAATGTGAAGACAGTAGTTAATACTCTATACGGAGTTTAAAATTATACACTAAAGAAGTGCAGGATTACAAATAAATGAAAAATATAAAAGCTAAAATCCTAAGGCATCAACATGACTGAAAATGCAACAGGCATTCAGAAAAACAGAGAGACAGTGTAAATAAGCTGAATTGTGCTAGATGCACTTCCAGGAACATCAAACTGATATTTTGAAATATCTTAAGGAAATAGCTTAGAAAAAGAAAACACACACAGTTTCCCTGTGAAATTATTTCTGGGTTTTAATTTTAAGAAATACAAATGAGACTACATTATTTCAAATTGGCCATGTACTAAACTGTTAAAGAATAGTTTCAAACATATAACACTGAACAAAAACAGCAGGCAAAAAGGAGGAAAAATAAACTGAGGGAATCAATTTAGCTGATTTAGCTAGCATGATTGAAGCAAACCTCTTGAAACACAAAGCATATATGTATCATGAAAGCGTGAGGGCAGCAGCTGCTCTGCCAGTAGAAGGCAGCCCAGAGCTGCCTTCTGTTCTCTGAATCTCTCTCCTAATTCTTGTTCACATAAGAAAAGGGATCCCTGGTGCCTGCCAGCCCGCTAGGGAATCACCCTTACACCTGTCCTATCCTCAGAATGGACCCCCTCAGTTTACCACAACTCCACTGTACCTGCTCAGCTGGGAGAGTGAGCTGCTGGCCAGATCACTGGACTGAGGCAAGCTGGGCAATGCTGCCACGTGCTGCGATGCTGAAGGCAGAAGCGAGGCCGTGGTAGACACCACACTGGGCAGAGAACCAACTGAAGGTAGCGAGGGAGAAGGCTCTGTCTTAGGCGCTGCAACTGATGGAATAGCTGCAACAAGTTAAAAAGAGGCATTCAAATTAAAATTCTAGCATACTTGACATCCCAGTCCAGATGACAGGCACACAGTAGCATTCATCCCTTGGTCTGCAAAAATCTGACCATTAAGAACTGGTAACCATATCAAGCAATTTGGCTATGAAGGAAAATTCAAACAACTGAACTACCATTTTTTCCCCTTTAAGCTCTCTATTTACAATAAATTTACAATTATCACTGCTACACATGTAGTAAACAACTGTCTTCTGCACTTCATCTGCCACTATCGGGATTACTAATTTATACTCACAAGTCATTCTAAAATTCCTCACTTTTGGTACAGCAAACACAAGTAATTTCTGCCTTTTCAAGGCACTGTACATATCTAGTTTCACCTACAGCTCTTTCTTCATTCAGACCTACACAGCACTGTTGGGGATGGACACTGAGATCACTGGAGTACACGGGTAAATAACTTATCCCTTTGGTATATTCAATCTAAAGTGTGCTGCAGTAGAATGAAAAAAGCTACAACGAAAGGCCAGAATTGAGCACAGCATTAAGTATTTTTTATGGCTAAGGAGCTGTTAAATATTGACTCACTTTATTTAGATAATAAAAAGTGATAGGTTTTATCTTACACTTTTTAGGCTACACAGATAGAAACTTGTTTATAGGATCACTACACTGTAATAAGAGGCCTAAAAATTCTATTGCCCAACATGATTCTCAACTGTTTCACTTTTTCTACTACTACAAAAAATAACAAAGAATTAGAGACAGCCACTCACCAATAAAACTCAGAAAAGAGTTGAGCCCTACCTTCTGCTGGGCCATGTTCCCACACCACACCAGGGACCACTACCCAGTGGATCATCACTAACTTGTAATGTATGTGAAGACACTTTTAGATTGGTCATCAAACAAAAATCAAATACACACCTGGAAGTTATTTATTAGAGTTTGTTCACTTTATGGATTTGATTTCTTAGCTAAATGACCAAAGTCAGGTTGTTGGGTTGCAATGGAAAGAGGAATTAAAAGGTCCTGGCCTTGGTAATAAGTATGGCCTCTAAGAGAAGGAAATACAAGTGACAAACATGCTTATGAAGGCAGTAACTACATCATCTAATAACTCCTGGTAAAACTCATATAAAAAAGGAGTAAATAACATTTAAAACTCCCAATATATTAAGAGCAGGATTCCCTCAACACAAGGGACAGAATCACCATCTTAAGATCCCCTACAAGATGACTGAATGCAATGCGCAAGACAAAGAAAACCACGAGACAAGTAGGATGGTCAGGAGTAAAACACATCAGTCGTACTTTGAATTAAGGATTTAGGAAGCTCGAGATCTGGATATTAAAGAAGAACAGCAAACAAGAGAGATGAACAACTAAGAATATTATAGCACATACAGAAAGGAGAAAGTACTTATAAAAGTTAAGACAATTTCAAAACCATTTGGATGCATAAAACAGACTCAATGGAAGAAGAAAACAGAAATGCTCTCAACGGAGAACTGGCACAGGAAAAGAGACTAGTAAAGCTATTACAGAAAATAAAAGTGTTAGGAGTACTCAGATCTTTGTTTTCTGTAGAAAAAAAGGACAGATTCTGTAGTGAATTTCATATATTGCTTATTAACTCTGTACACAACACCAGAAAAGTTCTTGTGTTGAAAAGCTGTCTTTGTGCACTTGGAGCGTATACACTCCTGCTCATTTAAATTCAACTTGGTACTAACAAAACATTGTACTACTAATGGCCTACCTGAAGAGATGTTTAAGAGGAGGTTAGACCTAAAATTGAGGTGTTGGAATTCCAAAAGATTTTAATTCACACCGCTGTCCTTGAAAGCTTCCATGGAGCAGCACAAAGATCAGAAGAGTGAATACTATACTTTAATTACTTTAACTCCAAGTACAGAGCCGCAGGCCTGGTACAGGTCCACACTACATTAAAAACATGCCAAAATGAAGAAACTAACACCTATACCACAGTCAATACTGAAGTATTGTTTGCAAGATATTAAGAAACTTACAAGAGGGAATGTGTTTCTCACCTTTATTCCCACAGACTTATAACAGGGCAGAGACAGAATGATACCTAGTGAGAGGTGCACTCGAAGAACGTGACTTCATTTCACTACAGCTAAGTGATATTTGCAAGTTCCCAACTCAGAACTGGAAGAAGTGCTAAAAAACTTCATATTATTTCTAATTTTGTATTTTTTTAATATTAAATGATTTCTGACAGGTGAATTAAAAAACCAAAAGCCAACAGCAAAGCAGCTTCTCTAATTCTAAGATTGTTTAGGTTTGTAGATTTAATAGACCTGCCTTCATATTTCAATTGTAATCAAGAAGCAAGCAGCATTTTATGCAAGCACAAATAAAGTCAAATGGGTCAGCCATAAATTAGTCATGGAGAACAATATAAAGCCTTAAACCCAATGTCACTGATACGCTTGTGTGCACAGCAAGTAGCAAGGAATGAACAGAAAGTCCTGTGCTCAACCAAGCTTTGAAAACTTACTGTCAAGTGTTGCCTGTGTCCTAACACCACTGTGCCCATTCTGTAAACAAAGAAGAAATGAATTAACAAATCATCTTAGAAGTATATTAAATGCTCAGACTGAATCACACATTGAACATGCTTCATGCAAAATTCTATGTTCATACTAAATTGAACAAGGCAGAAAATTAAATTTTTACTGCCTTTAAAAAAACTACATCATAAAGTTGTCTCAAGTGCAAGGTGTCTTCAACATAGAGAAACCCATACACTGCCCATAATACACCCATCAGCAGCAAACCTTCCCATGTACTGTATATAACATAAACTTCAGGTTCACACCAATATGAAAGAAGGAATTGCATTAACATATAGGAAATGGTTGTGCTTTTGATCTAACGTAACTCACAATTTTAACTATCCAAGTTACACAGAGACGCCAATTTTTTTCCATTGAAAGATAAGACTTGAGAAGCACCAGTTGTTTTTTGGATAACGCTGGAGTACAGAAGTGGATAGTCTATGCTTGATCCTCACCAGTACATACGAGCTAGTGCAGAAGACAAGTGTGACTGAGCCAACACATAACAAAGGCCAGAAGTAAATAAACTTACAAACTCTCACAAGTTCCTAAAACATTCAATAAACTCAGTTCTTTTAAAATAAACCTACATTCCATATACAAAGACAGCAGGTGTGTCTGAATCTCCCAAGAGATTCTTTGTCCTATATTAGACCTCTGCTTATGCTTATTAAAATAACCCATTAAACTAATTCCCACTGGTTTAAATGCAACAGAAAAGTAATACTGGAGGGGCCAAGAAAAAATTGGGATCCATTTGCTAGGTGCCATGTAAATTTAGTAAATAAAATACATTTGTAGAGAAACCATCAAGTTATTAGTTATGGCAAAATACCATAACTAATATTTACATACAGAGACAGTTCTTTATGTTCAAGGAGGAGAACTCAAGTAGAATTTTAACATTACTAAAAAAAAGTCAAAAGACAATTTAAGATGTCAACGCCCACAAAATCAGATGCTCTTGTATCCCAAATACAGTAATACCAAAAATGACTACACACCAAGAAAAGCAAAAACAAATAAGAGGGTGGGCTTGGAAATCAAAAATACCACTTGGCTTGGTTACAGCATTAATGTATGAGGGGAATACAAACCTAACACAGGTAAGAGTACTCCCCCTTTTCTAGGTCCTGTTTCTGTAATGAACTCACCGTAACTGCAGCAGCAGTTGGTTCAGACGGAGCCATGGAGCTTTGGTACGCTATCCTGCTATGCACAGAGGTCTGCTCATAGGAGGAAGTTGTTACTGAGCTAGTGCTCTGGGATGAGCAGGTCAGACTGGAAGAGCTGATGGCAGAGGTTGTGTAGGTGGAGTCCTGTACTGTATTGGATATTGGCAAAGAGGTATTCAAAGGATCACTGGAAAAAAAGAATTATTTATCATCTTGGTAAGTATCTCAAATACTTTCATGAAAATATCAGCTTCTATATGGCTATCTAGAACAACCTTAAACACACAAAAAAACCTATACTATTTATGTTAGAAAACCTAAGAATGTAAAAAAAATGTATAATATGCTTTGGTTGTCACTAATCACTGCTTCAAAACCTCAGCTGCACTACGCACCATTCACCTTCCTCATTCCAGCCCAAACAAGACAAGAAATTACATACAAGCACTTTTCAGTCACATGTTATTTCCACCTTTTCCAAGGATAAATTGACGATCATAATCTTTCTTTTTTAAACAAGCAGAATTGATAAAGTCTGGTATATAATGAATAACAATAGGATTCTTTTTACAATAGAATTCTAATGTTACAAAATAAATTATGCAAAGAACTAAAAATACTTTAAAACATGCAGTAATGTTTTTTTGTCCATTTAGTTTAAATATTGTGTATAAAAGTTATGTGGAAGTTCATTTCTATTAATATTTCTGAATTAACTTCAGGAAGCTTTTTACTGATGCTGATTTTTCAATGAGTAAGGAATTAAAACTGGTTTACTGGTCCACTGGCACTTATCACTGGCTGTTGTAGCATTTCAGTAAGAGCATCTGCATACAGAAAGCCCAGCTTTTTTTCTCATTTTTTCATCCTGTAGGAGAATCAGATCTGTAACCTGCTGCTAATCTACTAACTAACATAAATATATGGTAAAAAGGTCAATTCTGCTGGGTCAGTTGGAGAAAAACATGGGTAGGGAGGAAAAAACCCCCAAAACACCTGAAAATCAGGGCAACTTCACGTGAGAAAAAATTCTAAAAGATAGCTTATTTAAAGGTTATTTATATTCATATCACCTCCAGCTTCACATCTACCCATCCAGTCAGATTTTGATTATAATTAGAGTAGAAAAATTATCATTTAAGATACAGTCCACAGAAAACAAGTAATCATATTTTCTCCTTTCATTACATTGTAATCCTGTCATGACGTTTTTGGCACAAACTTGACTCCCACAAGAACATCTGAGAATGCAGGAGGGCAACTCACACATACTTTACAGATTTTGAATATAAGCTATTGTTGGTCGCCTGGTTGGTGTTCTCACTGCTTGATGTTGATCCAAACTCTGGGAGTGTAGGCTCTGATCCAAACTCAAGAGCTCCAAACTGAACATTTAACCCTGTCATGTCTGCTGATCCAGGCATCTCCACAGCAGAGGCAGGAATCTTAAAGGAAGAAAAGAAGCCATAACTCTTTTGCATGCATCTGCAACTTGAAATTAATCCACTGATTCTGCTCTAATCTGGAGATGAATGAGTAAACCGTACCATTCCACAACAACAAAGTAGCATCTTTGTACGTGTCCCCCCCCCCACCAATATTCATATTGTGGCTACTAAGTGAATCTAAAAATCACTCAGCAGCAGCCATTTTCCATACAGAGCAAACAGCTATCTGCTTGCAAAAGATATCACCACAATATTTTGGACCTAATAACTATCCAGATTAGTACATCCTGCTTCATAGATAAGAAACATACCAAGATCTTTGCTCTCCTTCTCCCTAGCAATTTATATAAAACTTTTACCGAATCAAATCACAGAATCATTATGGTTGGACAAGAACATTAAGACCAAGTCCAGGTATTAAAGCCAGCACTACCAAACCATGTCTTTAAGTACCATGTCTCTTCGTATCTTTCAAACAGTTCCAGGGATGGTAGCTCTCTCACTTACCTGGGCAGCCTGCTCCAGTGATTGACAACCCCCTCAGTGATGACATTTTTCCCAATATCCAATTTAAACCTTCCCTAGTGCAACTTGAGGCTGTTTCCTCTTGTCTTGCCACTTGTAACCTGAGAGAAGAGACCAATCTCCACCTGGCTACACCCTCATTTCTAGAGAGTGATCAAGTTTCCCCTAAGCCTCCTTTTCTCCGGGTTGAGCCCCTGTAGCTCCCTCAGACCTGTGCTCCAGACCCTCCCCAGCTCTGTTCCCTTCTCTGGACATGCTCCAGCCCCTCAATATCTTCCTTGTATGAGGGACCCAGAACTGGAGACAGGACTTGAGGCGCAATCTCACCAGTGCCCAGTACAGAGAGACAAGTCACTGCCCCGGTCCTGCTGGCTATCCCGCTGCTGACGCAAGTTTTTGTGGTTTTTAAGTTTAGTAATGACAAGCTATCACTCAATTACCCACCTTGGATGCTGGAGTTATCCTCCTTTTTGGTGGTTTTATCTGTTTCTGCTGGGTTTGATGAACAGTCACTGCTTGGTTATCCACAGAGATAGTGGGGAGCTGTAATATTTTGCTAACAGCTGTAGAGGTGTCTACTGGTGATGGCTCTCGGAGTTTTACCTGGGAGGAGGACGACTCCAGCCCAGGAGGAGGAACAGGAACCATCTGCATTTGTTGCTGTCGCTGTGTCAGCTGGCTCAGAACTGGAGATGGTTCAGGCTGGGATTTAAAGTCTGGCCAGTGTTGGAAAAAAGGAAATATCAAAATTAAAGCATTGAACTTTGCTCTTCACAGTTCTACTCTTTATGCAAGAATCCGAGTGATGCTTAATAGCTATGATTCTATAGCATTTGCATGTCTTTTCAGACAGCACAAGGGTTTCACATGGATCACTAACACTAACACTAATAAGGACAACAGTAGATACATCTACTTTAAATAAATAGCAGTGGCCAAGCACTTCCAAAAATGCGAAAACAAACCTATCTACACAGTCACAGTATTATCACACACAAATCCTCAAAAACTGTTACAGATTATTTTAATCAAGCACTTCAAGTTTCACTGTAATTAACTGAGCTGATGTAATGTGATTACTTCCAAGGGGTAAATAGTTGTTGCAATTTAGAGGTAGTATGAGTTAGGATTCCCTTCCCCTGCAAAGAAGAAGATGAAAAGAAAATAGGAAGTCTTCTACCATCTCATAATAGCTGAGAAGCAAAGAGATGTTGGATATAAACAAGTTTTTTCCCAAGTCTTCCCTTTCATAGTTTTTGGATACTGAAAGCCATGAGGTGACCTAAAGCACTGGTCAACCACCACAGAGATCTCGAGCATTTCCAGTGTCAAGGGGTTTTTATTCAGTTGGTGAAGTCCATAAGAAAGCATTAAAATGTAGTTTTATTTTTTTTTTCAGAATTTCTGCATGTCAAAGATAGTAATTGCTACCAATGGCTGCTTATCTACACATAAACATATACACACATGAGAGACACAAGAGCTATCTTCTTCACAGTGAGGATTCTGCTAGGAACAACACTACAGAAAATAAGTTTCTGTCATTCTCACTGTTACAATTAATTTTACTCAATTACATAAAAATTCATACCATTATAAAAACATAAAACAAGTAACCCGAATCCTTCACAGCACACTATGGAAAGAACACTGAAGCGCGATGCATATTATGAAGAAATTACACAGTACTCATTAAAAATTCATGTAATGATTAGAAGAGAGAATTTGGGAAAAAAACAAAATAAAAGTACACAACTTTACACTCAGCTAAAAGAAGCATAGGTACAAGGAAAATAAGTATTTTCCTTATCTGTTGAAAAACAATCAACAACAAAATTCCATGTAAATATTCAAGCACACTAAATCAAAGATGTCACTACCTGGAAGGCTCAATAACTTTAAACATGTAATGACATTTAGGGATAGGCTTAAGCTTAATAAAACTTAGTTTATTATACACTTGTGATGTTTATTATCAGCAAATAAGCATAACATTTATAATGTTGCAAGTAATTGTATTACTAGGATTAATTTTTTTTAAAAAAAGTCTTTAATTAAAGTAATTTTAAACTATCATTGGCATTAAGAAATCCTACTGGCTAATATAAAGAGAAAGAGAGAAAAACCTGTGTCAAAGCACTTACCAAACTGACTGAGGACTGAGGACTGAGTACTAGGTGGTTTTAGATCCCAGGATGATGCAGCAACTGTGCTAGTGGTGGCAGAACTGCTATTGGTTTGTTGAGAGGTAAACTGACCCAATCCCGGTGATTTCAATTGGTCCAAGATTTGGGAACCAGTAGAGTTTGCCAATTTAGAAGATCTGAGCTCTCCAAAGCCAGAACAAAGAACTGCCGACTACCAAAAGACCAAGAAGAAAAGGGGAAGGAGTGGAGTTAATATTTTAACTAATAATTGAGCACAATCATAGGGTCAATGCCTACAGCTGCCATCTGGAAGCAACAAAAATCTTTTCAGACCTAGATTACTAACAAATGACCAGTAAAAATGTCCACTACTGTAATCACAATAATACTAACTTATTTGAACCTACACATCTTAAAATATCATAGATTTACTAATAGTTGGACCAATTTTTAGAGAATAAACACCTCATCTCACACCCTCAAAACTGATTCAGAAATAGGCATGCTTACACAAGAAGTAGCTGACTATGCGCTTAGTGGAAATAACACATCCATTTTCTGGCCTAGAACTCCCAACTATAAACAAATTATTTAATCCTACATCAGCAAGCAATGAGCACATCTGCTCTCTAATCAAAAATTAATATAACTGCTTCATGCAAATGCAGAAATAACCAACCAGCAAAATGAAAAAAGTAATTTTTGGTGGGGGGGGGAAGGGGGCTGAAAGTAAAGAATTATATTCTTCATTTTAATTTTTCACCAAATACCAAAACACTTCACGAAATGACCAGCACTGGAAAAGTTGTTTAACTTGAAATATTTACTCATGAACAACATTTAGAAAACAAAATATTTAGAAAGCACAAGATAGTTTTACCAGACTTTGAGGAGAGTAAGAGTTTACAGCACTGGAGCTGCCTGTTCCTGATGCCATCTGGGTGCTGTGCTGAGAATTTGTGAATACTAAGGCTTGGCCAAAGGTCTGCTGCTGAGAAGACTCAAATGAGTTGCCTTCTGTCTCTTGGGTAGATGTCACTGGCTTTTGAAGCAGTGTCACCAAATCAATGCTGTAAGACAAAGTGAAACTTGGCTGGAATGAGTGAACAGTGATTAAACTTCAGTGACACTGGGGAAAGCACTAGCAATACTAAGGCTGCCATTCCAGCAACAGAATTATTACTGATTAGCAGTCTATTCAGATGTTTTTTGTCTACCATACAACAGAGAGAGAAGGGATCTTTTTGCCACTAAGTAACAAACAAAAAAATCCCACCCCAATTTGAGCGGATGAACTAAAACATTTTCTAACAATCTGAGGGACATCCACTGGAGAATAGAACAAAAAACACATGAATATACTACCTTTAAGAAAGAAAGAAATACAAATTATACACCATGTGACACCATGCCTCATGCAAATCACATCCATATTATATGGAAAATTTTGCTACATTACAGCAGAATCAGGACTTTTGGAACCATTAGCCTATCTAGTTTTCAGATCTCATGCTATCCAACTACCAAAGCGTTCACTATACTTTAATGTGCTCCTCAGGAACATGAAGCTAATGGAAGCAGCTGATTCCACAACATGACCAGAAAGGCATTTGAAGACAAAGGCAGGCAAAGGAAGGCAGCAATTGATCTATTTTTGGTTCTTGATCTTAACGCTCTATCATCAGTAAAGGCTTGTACTGTGATGTTCACCAGGGAATTCACCTTTTTGTCAATGCAAGCTTTCATTTAACACATCTGCCAAAGCATTACATTCTGAACACTTCCTCCATCTACACAGATAGGCTTTCCCACTTTCTGGACACTTAAGCCAGAGCTTCCCTTTCAACAGCAAAAAATTTTTTCTTCCCAGCTACTTTTCTTCCTTTCTGTAAGCAGTCTTGATGCAGTAGATGTGTTATACTCACACATTTGGTAAGTTTGTCTCCACTTTCACAGTCAGAAATAAGTAACTCAGGAACTCACAGAAACAACAATTTGCAAGCAGGGCTTTTTCAATTTTTAGATGGGTTTGACCAATCTCTGAGAGAGTTTTTATTCAATATTTTATGTGTGCAAGCTAATATTGCCTAATCAAGGAGAAGGTTTTTAAAGTATAGGGAAAACATGGTAGAAGAGCTTACCTTTGCCCAGGAGTCACATGATTTTCAGCTGGAACAGAAGATGAAGTGAAGACTTTTGTTTCAGAAAGCTGAAAAAGAGATGGAGTAAGAATCTCATATGCTCACATTTCCCTCCTGCAACATCTGCATAAATTCCATTTTGGTCATGCATTTTCAATATAAAAGTAAAGTAAAACTACCATTACAAACAGCTACTCTGAAGCTCTGCTTAAAAGGACAAAAACATGTAGTCAAACTTCACTAAAATCTTTCCCACAGAATCAAGTACCTATTTAATTAGAGGGCTGGGTTAGGATATTTGACCTACTGACAACACGCACCAGCATAGAACTGTACACCAATGTAATACATCAGCTTGGGAAACAGTTTAACTGAAATACACCAGTAGAAAGTAATTAATGTGACAGCCATTCTACCATCAACGTGCAGACAATTTATGACACTACAGAGCAACTCTGACAAATCTGCACAAGGTAACACATTGCACTGCTCCCACTCATTCCACGTATCCTTGAGTCTGACATTTCAGCTGCCACCACCAGCAGATGCAGGCAAATACAGGTAAGTTCAGTGAACCAGCATTCATGGCTCCTTCTTGGCAGCTCGGTTAAGAGAGGCAATAACGTCTTTAACTGAGTGCTCTGAGAGCACGAGCTGGGAAGCTGTGATAAAATGAGAGCCATGCTGACACTCATGTAACAAGTCAGACCACCCACAGAGGACAGCTGCGCTGTTTTCACCAAGCTGTTACAATACAAATATACTCGCACAGGCACCTGGGGAAGTGGAGCTGGTTAGGACCTTGGAGGAAAAGAAGAGGTTGTTTTTTTGCCATGTGGTTGGATTTTTTTAATACTTTTTGTTGTTTAAAAAGTAGTTGTTGAACAGCTACAACTTCCTAGGCTCATTTGATTCTATTGACAGGAATACTTGCAAATCAGAATAGATCTTAAGCCAGTACAAGTTAGGTTTAGCAGGACAGAGCTAGGCACAATGTTTGTATTTTAAATTTACTTTTCACAAAATCATCCTTAATTCCTTTAGTAGCCTTGTCTTTGACTAAAGAATAACTGACCTATTCAAAGAACACCTTTCAAATGTGCCATTTGATACAGCTCTTCTAGAAATTGTACATTTTAAACTGCATACATCTTTAGCAGTTTAAAAGACACCACAGATATGAGCCGATTTCATTTGCCATCCCACAGGCAGCTCTACTGAGAGCATGTGATTCCTGAACGTGTACATCTGATAGGGGTCTCCTTGATTTAAGAAGGACACAGAAGAGCTGACTGGGAGCAAATCACCACTCAGAGGCAGAGCAGAGATATCTCACATACTCTCCCAGCACTCTGTCACAAGGAGCACATGAGACCATGAACAAATCAGCCTAATACAGTTCCTCCCTCCATTTCTTACCCTTCCCTTGCTGCCAACACAAAGTACTTTAATCCCTCATTTCTGGATCACTTGTCCTGAGATGAATGCTGACAGCCCACAACTCTGTGTACTGACCAAAACAAAGAAAGAACATTCCACTTAAGTACATTTCAGTTAAAAAGGCTGTTCCTCTATTGTCCAGCACTTTCTGAATCATGTGTTTTATTTTAGAGCAATGTGTACTGTACTTTCCGGGGTACTATGATATTCTTGCACTACATGGCACAAGGAGGTCAGCTAATGGCACAAGCAGCACTCTGTGGTCTGCAATCCCTTGGTTAAATATTAAACTCTTTGTAATGTCAACAGTTTATTATACTCACATAACCAAGAAAAGACTGATCAGGGACAAACACTGATGAACCCCAAAAATTCAGCAGATTGAGGAGACTGAGGATGCTTGTGACAATGCAAATGCATGCTTGATGTGTGAGAGAAAAAATGCTCTCTATAGATGAACCAGCATGCAAACAGCAGTCTCCAGCTACCAGCTCAGTTACACTGAGATTTACACTACAACCTGTGGCAAACTCACTGCCAAAAGGTCCAATCAAGCACTTAATTCAGTACTCTGCAGGGATTATGGCATTCGTCAAAACACATATTTCGTGCTGTGGCAGCTGAAAAGTTTTATTACCAGATGTACTTAGTATTTCTCAGAAGTAGTATTTTCAGCTCCCAATCAAGCCATTATGCTTGCTGCACACTACACTCACAAATCTTTCACTGAAGCTCTGGCATTTTCCCAGAACTGAACGAATGGTTGTGAGCCATTTGTCGGTGCTGGCCTCACAGGGGTATGTCCTCCATCTGCAGTGAAATGCCCATGCTTCCCAGCTCCTGTTCCTACGATAAAATCATTCTCCAATCACCAAACAGACAATGCACTTGACAACTAGCTATCAGCTCCTAAAGGAGTATAGGAATAGTGAGGAGAAGAGGAAAATATATTCCAGCATCCTCACAGAAACTCAACATCAACAAATCAGAAATTTTAAAAAAAGCTTATTACTGTTTTGGTATGATGTAGTGAGGGTAAAAAATTAAAACAACTTCTCATGCTGCTTCTGGGTAAAGAAACCACTTCCTACAAAACACTTTTTTTTCCCCTTTCCTTTTTTGAAAATAAATGTTGTTGTGGTTTCAAATAATAACAGAAAATGTTGGCCGTTATCCACTTTCCAGCAATTTGTATTTATTCTATTTCTTTCCTTTGGAATAGTTGCTGTAGTTAAACTTTACTTTCTTTTAAGAGCAAAACCCAGAGCCACCTAAAGTACCTCAATATTTGTCTAGTCCTTCATTGTTAATACCCTGAATATCCCTTTAACAAAACACAACCTCTTATTTTCACTGCAAGCACTTTCCATTCTATTTAACAGCACCCTGACAACCTATTATACTTGCTTAATACTCACTGCAAAAGATAAGGACCAGACAGGACTATTAGGTCAAAAAGACCTAATTCTTCTTGGGTCAAACAATGTTAAATTTTACTGACTTGTTCATAACTTGTATCTGACTAGAGAACACCACATTTAAACAGAAATATTCTTTAGAAAAACACCTGGTCTTTCCCTCAGACAGTAAATTGATCAGCTTCCTTGGTTCTTTTAATCAATAGTCATGCCACTAGAACTGTTTGTTACTCACTTAAACGCATGGATCCATTTTCCAGACACAGGTTCATACTACACCTCTGCTACACTAAAACCAGAATCGACCATATGCTCCTAAAGTAACGCTTTCAGATTCCCTAAACTAAAATCTCCCTTCTCAAGGATCTTTGATCAGATATTTTCAGCTATTATACACAATTTTTCATCTGTAAAAGTAATGAGAAATTTGGTTTGGTACTTATGAATCAAGTTCAGAAGCATCCACATACATAAATAGAACTCAAGAATGACTAAGAGATGGGGAAGAGTGCCAACAGGCAAAAATACTACAATAGGAGTTTTTTTAATACAGCATCAGCTCATGCTGAGCTGTTCTTTTTTCATCATCCACTACATTCCTGGAAACTTTTGAGTTGCTGCTTTCCAAACACCAGGCCCTTGTTCTGAAGGTGTGTCTTTATTCCTATAAAGCAAATGGATACTTGGCTATATTAAAGTATTTTTCACTGGAATAGCTCAAATATTGCAGAGGTCCAAATCTTGCCACATGACTGGCTCACTTTCAAAGGCTATTCCAATATATTTTCTATTTGAAACCATTTTATTAAGCAATTACTTTAGTTTTACTTCTCAATCATTGATCGAGGCACTAGATGGCATCTGGCCTCAGACTGGGAGGACTAATAGCCTTCCTACAAAAGCCCACATTCAATAAGGGTCTTTCTGTAACAGATCTGCCAAAATTTTCTAGGCAGATTTCAATACACTAAAATTTTTTGCAATAGAATGCAATTATTTCTAGAACAAAAGGTATAACATGTTTTTCCCTTTTATTTTTTGGCGCATGTTTTGGGCTAATGTATATGCATCTTGACATTCTGTCGACTCTTTCTGAATATTAGCAGACCAATAACTTTCTCCTAGGCTATAGGGATTTTTCCAGGATCCAAAATTAATAAAAACTAACAACGGGCTAGAGATTTCAAAATTCATTTGCAAATTATTCAGCTCTAGTAACTAATTAAAACAAATTCTATCTGTAGTCAGCATTGCTCAACACCTGTCCCTTACAACAAACGCTCCATTGTACCAACATCAAACAGGGGTGAGAACAGCTCACAGAATTCCACCATTCTTAGCCCTTAGTCCACCTCTAGCACACACTCAGGAAACTAGACAGGTTTAAAATATGTCAGCTTTTGATGACATTAACTGATACAGAAAACCTAGGAATTTAAGAATTTCTTTCAATTCTCTCAAAAGATACATCCCTATCATTAGGTAAGGATGGAGCTCCCATATCTGTTACATAAAGCATTCATGCATTTCCAGGACAAACACTGACATTCCACCTCGGAGGAGGAGGCAAGAGGGATGACTTATTTTCACTCTACTGAAAATAAACTTGAAATAACAGATTACTTCAAATATTTCGTTTTTGAAAACAACACAAACTCTGAAGAAAATAAATAATCAATTGGTATATCCAGACAGTTGCACTTACATCTTCATTCCAGTCTTCTGCTGTCCATTCTTCTATTGAGTTCTTCCATGCTCCTATTATAATAGGGGAAGGAAAGAAAGGTACAAGTTAAAGGCATAACACTGTGTTTCAATCCTTCTGCTTTTCAAGCAATCCCATTTTCATTATCAGTGGAACACAAAGCAAGGAGATGGAGGTTGAAACCTATTTGGAAACATGGTTGTAAGCTCTAGGAAACTGGTCTGCAGAATTAAAATTCTGGGAGGGAAACACCACCACTCCTTCCCCCTGCCCCTGATTTTTGATCTTTGCCACTATGGTACCGAACTCAATTTGCATGAACATACAACTGCACCCAGTGATTAATCCCAAACATTGGAAGAACTTCCTCTTATGGGTCCAACAGCAGTGAGAGGTTACTCAACCCTCACATAGGATCCTCCAGATTCACACACAAATTAATACAGAACAAAACACAACCACCAACACCTGCTCCAAGACCCACAATCCTACTTTCAACACACTCAATTTCAAGACCCAAGCTATGCCTGTGAAGACTACTTTCCAACCTGCTAATGCACTCAGAGTAGCACAACTCCAATTCCTTCCCCTGAGACAGCAACTTATTTTAGAACACAAGCAATTCTTATGATGGTAGCAGGACAATCTTTAAATTTCCACTGTAGCTAAAAAATGTTTCCTGTAACTGGAGGCAGACTGGGTTTGGCAAACTCTGGAGCACAGTGAAGCATGCAGAAATAGGAAAACCACAGAAACCAAATCTATGGATGCAAAATTTGAATCCCTTCCATAGGAAACAGCAGGTACAAACATGCAAGAGCAATAAAGGGACTGAAGGCCTTGACCACCGGCAGCAGTACAGTGAAGATTATTCCAACAACAACCAGAGCCTTTGTGTAAACTGTGCAACCATGAGCAAAGAAAACACCAGCACCAAAGGTAGCACCGCCAGCACCCTGGATCAAGTACAAAGCAAAGAGACTGCTGCTTCAATCATCTCCTTTCATTTGACCAGGAATTGGTCTGTTTCTGATTAATTCAGAAACAAGCACCCCAAAAACACCATCAAAGCCAGCTGGTACTAATGCCAGAACTGCACTGGTGCTTCTTCTCGTACCCCACGACAACACAGTGGGTTTTGGCAGAGGAGGGTTGAGCGGCGCCAGTCCTGCCAGGCAAAAGGGCTGACCATGGAGGTAATGCACAGTGGGGGGAAGAGAGGGGAACTATACCTTGGAATCCAAAATTATTTGGCAGGTCCTGAGCAAGGTAACATCCGCTCTGTGTGGGCTCTGTGGAGCAATATAGAGTTGCCTGAAACATCTCATGCTCACATTTTAGCAAATGGCTCCTACCCAGGGTTGATGTTTTTACTAATAACCATACCCTATAGCAAAACTACTACAATGCTTCAAATTTCTAGAGTAATCCACACATTTCAACAGAAATTTTGAAAAGGAGGAAAAGCCCAATTATCTCCCATAAGCCACTGCCAAGGTCTGTCTCTAGAAGATAAGCTTTGCACTGACACCTGAACACTAAAACAGAGCTCAAAGTCTGATAAAATAAAGACTAGAAGAGCTCAGGTACATCAAGTCAGACTCTTGTGTATTTTGCACCACCTTTGGGAGACCAAACCTACTTGAAATAATACTTGTGATGTTTTCCTCACATTAAACTTAAACAACTGTCTGTTGTTCTCTCTTATAAAGCTAGTCCTGAGGGTTTACTCTTTTAAATACTGTGTACAGCCTCTCACCCTTTTATTAGTTTATCCAAGCTGCCAAGTTTATTAGTGTCATTTACTAACTTTCCCTTCCCAACTCAATCATTCCACTCTCAGTTATTTCAGTACTCTTCTCTGCACAAAATTCAGTTTCTGAATGTCTTTCTCCTATTGATCTGATCTAAGTCAGATTTTGCCACAGGCCCATTGATTTCTTTTTAGTCCAAAATCCACCCTGGCATTACTGCAGCTCATTCATCCTCTTCCCAATCTTTCCCCCAAGCTTTGCAAAGCATTACAATTCAAGAGTTTTCTGTTTTCCATCAAAATTATGTTTTGCATTTTCTAAGATCCTTATCATACAAGCTTCAACCTAGGTGGCTATTTGTGACCCTTTCCTCTTTTTCTTTGTTACAAGTTCAGTTTAGAAAGTTATCAAGCCAATAAAAACAGCATACATCTTTTGATGAGTCTTCAGCTATGTTCCTCCAATTATCCTCTCTCCCTGTCACACTCTTTAATTTTTTTCCATTTCTTTGAACAATCATTGATATTAACCCCAAAATAAATTTAACTTAGTCTATGCCAAACTTATGTACTAGTTCTTTCCTTCTGGATTTGCATTCTAGAAAGACTTGAAGGCTTCCTTAAAATGTTCCTTCAGACTTTAACAGCAGATATTGAAAAAACAAACCAAATACAAAACCCCCAGAAAACAAAAACCCAAACACCAACTTCCTTGTACCTTCCAAGGAACACAACTGTCCCTCTTGAGAGTTACTCTTTAATTTATTTCTTATTTCTAGTCATTCTTCAGTTTCTGAGTAATTTAAGGCTGTTTATAACTAAGGTAACAAAGGAAGTTTTTCCATGAAACTTGAACTCTATCAAAGTAGTGACATGAGTAAATTACCAGAAACAAACTTTGAGAAGTGAGCACCTCTAACACAATTTATGTTTAAGAACTGCTGTGATTTGCACTCATTTTCTCCCACTGCCCTGTACATTACAAAAAAGGTGAGAGAAATGATGCTGCTCAAGTTTATTTCTTTGTGGAGGAAGCTAGTAATTTTGTTTCTCTTCATCTGTCCCTTCCCTTTGCCTTTCCTCTGTATATTATTTCTATATAAATTAGAATGCAGGAAAATTGATGGTGTATTATTTGGAATACAATTAGATATAATGTTATGAACTATTAAAGACTTGCCCTTTAGTCTGTATTTCAGCCAACACTAAATTTTACCTTCACAGAACCAGCTGGCCATTCTACTGGATTACACAATGGTGCACTTAAAAAGGCTATTCAAGCTATCATGATGCCTCTGGCATCTGCAATAATTCAGGACATGAGGTTCTAGAGCACTTTCAGAGCACACATGACAGAAATTGCATTTTGGAAAAAAACATTATATTTATTTTTTATGAAAGTACTGATTTCCCCAGCAGTGGCTAAAGAAAGAAATACTTAGTACATAACTCAGAATATCACAAAGAGTTTATATTGGCATAATGTCTCCAGAAAATATTTTGGTAAGCAAAGATATCTTATCTCTTTAAGTTACCCAGTTACTGCTTCTTTAATGTAACTGCTGATGAAAGACACTAGGTTTTCAAGTAGATAGCAGGAGTTAATATTTTTTACCTTCTTTTGAGATTAAATAAGAAATGGGACTGGATAATGAGGAATAAATAGAGCAATTTCCTTCCTGTCCTTCCTGTATAAACTCTTACCTGATGTCTATAAAGTCCACTGCAAGCTTTACAGTTTTGCGTACACATATAGTTCCCACATTCAAAACTTTAGCTGACACCCCATTGGGAACTTAACTGGGTCATTGATTTGTAATTAACAAAGCATCATGTGAATTTAGGAGGAGGAACCTGAAAATTAATATTTGGGATTAACAAGTCAACTTTATGCAATCCTCAACTTTATGCAAACTACTTCCAGCCCCATACCTTGTCTGACACTGTCCTCCCCAACACAGCTTCCATGTTCCTTCCCAGCAGTCTCTTCTGCTCTAAAATTACCACCCCAGCTGCAGCTTCCTCTAAAAACCCTCAAGATGCTTTCCATCAAAAGGCTGAAAGTGCTACCCACTTGGACAACTGATGTTTCAATTTTAAAGCCTGTTCTTTCTGAAGTTACTCCTTTTGCCCAGAGACTTCAGACATTCCTAGAGCTTGCCTACAACACCATAAAAGAAAGCATTCTTTAGAGAGACATTGTTGTTTTGTCACTTATTATACCTTTTTCATTTGAAAATAAATTAAGATTAGCAACAAAACGGTACTTAACACCCAACAAGAACATTCACATTTACCTAGTTTACTTTAATTTTCTGCCAACCAAGTAATTTTGCAGGAACTACTTCACAATGACACCCACTCATTCATACGTCAAAAATTCATTCATCTGACAAGGCCAGTGAAAATTCTCAAACACCTTCTCACACATTCTTCCTATAATGCTTCCCAAATTTCCATGCATGCATTAAGCTGCGTTATTGAAGTCCAGGGCAGTTGTTGGTGACATATGCAAAGCAAATACGTGCTTGACATCCAAACAGAAATTCCATACATCTAAACTCTGAATTTCCACCACTCTGTCAGCAGCACACCTCTCACGATGACACATGCATACTGTTAGAGGGATCTGTTTACCCACACCAAACTACTCTTATTCCTAGATTTCTTCCATTACTCAACACTGAGAATGAAGGACAAGGAGGCTCTGCCTCTGCTGTGACGGAGGCACATGGGGGCTACTCTGAGTTAGCAGAGAGGGTCTCAGAACACTTGAGTTCATTTTGGAAGTAGAGCACAAGTCATAAGTAAGCTATATCCTTACACCTTCATCAGCAGTAACAAACCAGTGATGCTGTACCTCTGCTCCAATCTCCTAGTACCTTTCTTGCAGATGTTTCTTTATTTAGTTAACCTTATAGCTTCTGCAATGCTTGTGAGAACACACCCTGCCCCTTGCTAACAGGTAGCAAACAATAACGTAAAAATCTCCAAAGGAGTTTTCAAAACATTAGGTATCTTCTTAGTCGAAAAACTAATGAGAGTGAAAACAAAAGGTGTATTTCTGTTTGTGCTACAGCACCAAGTCATTTAAGTAATGCCTTAGAGAGATACCTATTTGGCAATAATGCTTCCATTAACAACCACTAATATACTCAAAGCCACTCTTCCACACTGGTTGAGAAGGCAATTAGAGTAACAAGACAGCTGCTTAATAAGCCTCCCTAAACTTTGAGCTGGTTGTTGTCTTCTCTAGTTAAATGGAAAATGGCTTGTAAGACATTTAGAAAGCTGTATCTCAGTGGCTCACAGTAGAGCTCAACAGAGCACACTGTGCCCTTCAGGATCAGCTTCCACACTGGGCACAGGAGTTGATAAAAAGTCACCAGAGTAGGCTTTACCAATGAAGAGATCAGAAGAGTTACCCACTACTGCAGTTAAAAAGAAAAACATTCAATGGCTCCCAAATGAGGACAAAAACATACATGACTTTCTCCATTCTAACACATGGTTTACTTTGCCTTCATCTTCTATCACAGAACAGGAAGCAGCAAGGTATCCTATTTTTCCCATCACAGATAAGCAGGCCACCCTCATTTCTGAATCGCCATGAGACCACTGCCAAATGGTTCCTTTCCAAACTATGTCAGTCTCTTGCCTTTAGCTGGAAGTGTGTACTTCTCACTTGAAACTTCATACAGAAACACACATCTGCCTTCATCTTCAGACAGGTCAATGGCTTTTTGGCTTCAATTCAAGTGACTACTTGTGCTTTAGTTAATAATTTTCCTCTTCAGAAGTCGCAGATCTTGGAACTCTCCTCCATCCAGAGACTCACATCCTTACATTTCTGCGTTGTGCAGATGGGGCTTCCAAAGCCATCCCAGTGTCACTGAGTGAATTCATACTTGTAAACTTTTTTTCTTTTTCTTCTTAGATATTCATATCACAGGCCTAAAGCCTGTGGACCAATCAATTCTAGGAGGACTTATGCTCCTTAACTGCATTCAGTGAGATCTTAAGCAGTATTAAGATATCTAAACACTTCTTTATATACAAGGTTCTTCCGGTGACTCTTCAAATTCCTTTGTCCCCCAAGGGTTTATTGGTACTATAACAAAAGAATTTCAAAATGCCTCCCCTCATTCTCATCAGAGAGACACAGGCTCTGCACATCAGCAGAGCTAAACTTAAAAATCATCTAGTATCTGTGCCACAAAAGATGTATACAAATTTTCAGAAGTGAACACTAACAGAATGGTTATTTTAGCTGTAATATGCTACAGGTCTTCATTCCAATCCTTCCACTTCTTGAAGCATCTTACCAGTTCCATCATCTGCATCATTCTGACCAGTCTCCCAGATCTCTGACTTTGTCCCAAAGCCATCAGTGGCAGAAGACTCCGTATAGTCTGCAGGATTAAATGTCCTAGAGTTTTGAAAGTTAAGAAATGGAAGAGAACACATGGGTCATTCAGTGAGCATAAGTGTCATAATTTTTAGCTGAAGTTGTATTAGACTTAACATCTTGATTTCCACATAAGTTATCTTGACAGCTTTTACTTAAAAAAAATCTTCTATGAGCAGACAGAGATAAAAAGGGAGAAAAGAGAATAAGAGAAAAAAGTGAAGAGACTGGTAAACAAAATTCCTGTAGAGACACTGGACCAAATAAATTCCTGAAAAACCACTTAACAGCTTCCCAATTCCTCCCAGTGTTATAAAGCATTAGTTTATACACACAACAATATGACTCTCTCAACAGATAAGTTTTCCAGCAGGTAGCTGACTGATAAGTGACCAGTACCATGTCCTTTCAGAGCATCAGTAAGATTATTTCAAAGTGCTCTGCTCACACTAATGCCAAAAATACACAGATGCAGCTAAAATGTGGAAAAGCATTATTGAAGAAAAAACCTCTTTCTTCTTATCATCTGCAGGTATGAACAACAAGAATTATTAGAGAAGTAGAACATTACTCCAGTTCATCATATTACTGATGTTGCATGAAGTGTCATTAAAGGCAAACACTGAGGCTTTCACTGAGTGAAAGCAGTGGAGGCTACATTTCTATAAGCCAAGTTATTCCAACAAAATTGAGAACAAATTTTTAAGCTGCTGAATAACTTCCTCTGAATCTGTTTTAAGGTCCATATGAGTCCAAACAGCTAAAGCATGAGACCTCAAAAACAGAACCAAGTTTAGAATTGCTACTTTCAAGTTTTAAAAATGTTCACTGCACATTCTACATTATACTGAAATGAATCTGGTTTAAAATTTACCTAAGACTATATGTAGCACACCACTTTCAGACTCCAAGGCACTATGTGGCTGCTACTGATAGCAGGTATGGCTCTGCAAGTTCGAGATACTAACAATGAATAGACATACATTAGGATTCTATAGGTGTGCCTAGTTAGAAACACTAGTTTAAGACAAAAATATTCTATTCATCACCTAAGAGATTTTTCAATTTTTGCATCTATATTGGTTTATCAAACATATAGGAATATCCATACATACAGTGGCAACATTGTCAACAAATATTGCCGCTGTGTTTGATCCTTGCCAAAATCTGTGCTCTGCATGTTTCTTACCCCATGCCTTGGGCTGAAAACCTCCCCGCTCCTCTCCCTCTGCCACGTCCAAACCCTAGGAGAGAAAACACCATTTAACAGCAACAGCAGAGGAGCCACCAGTCACTAGTCTGTCACATTAAAGAATGCCACAGTTGAACAAAACTACCATAGTTGAAGTTAAATATAATTTACTTCCCAAATTCCCACACCAAATCTGCTTCCCTAACACACTCAAATAAGCCTTGGTTCATCAAAGACCTGACATTTCAGTAGGATATTCAATTATCTGCCATCTTTTCTGTGTCTCATGAAGCAGCACCAAGTGCCATTAAAAGAAATTACCTAAAGACTCATCCCAAACACTGCTATTGCCAACTTATTAGACATTGTTCAAAATTTTGTCAGGATTGTTTCATTCTTGCCTAAGATGCTCTAAAATCCCAGCCTCCCTGAGTATCTTGATCTCCCAAGCAATTCTCTGTCACTCCTATCTGTGAGGAAAAAGTTGAAATACTCCATTTGTTTCCTTGTCTGACTCTGATCACCTGTCCATGCTCCTGTGCTTTTGGCCATCTCTGATCACATATTCCTTCTGCCTCACCCTTCATCACAGTTACTGACAGGAAAATACCTAAATAATCTTCCTTGTTATCTTCCACTAAAATATGCATTTGTTTTAACAAAAACAAGTATTTGTTTTCTCAATTTTGATTACCACCCTCAGTTTATGAGCTTCTTGATACAATTAATAGCTTAATTTTTGCACACAGTATATTGTCAACAAGGCAAGAAAATTTTTGTGCTATTCAAGAATACAGAAAGCAAATGTCTAAAAAAGCGTTACTAAATATTTCTTATATGCAATATATTTCTGCATAGATTACCTTCCCCACTTTTTTGGGGTTTTATGTAGGGCTTACCCAGCTTGTTCAGGTTTTTTTGAGGAGGAGTGAGAATATTATTTTGTATTACAAGAACAGAAGGAGGTCAAGAGCTGCACTCAGAGAACAAAACCATGTTTATTTTAATGACAAAATTATGTAGCAATTATAAATCACCAAACAACTGCAAGTTTATCAGAACACACAAAAATTATAATCCTAAATCACCAAAGCACTGATGCCCATAGATCAGAACTACCCATGATGGGATGTTCAAAGTTGGATCAGAATTACTTCTTACTTTCAGGAGACCACACAAACTGAGCAAGAGCAGTACCTCCAGGACATGGCAACACCAGTTTATCAAATTTCTACTTTAATGACTTTCTGTCTCCTGCTCTCACCACTCCCCTTACCCGAGTTCACTGTTTTAGTGACAAAATACATTTCTGGACCTACTTTTTCAAGATTTTTTAGAAGTGTCAAAGTAGAGAAAAGATTCCCATTGAACAACACACAGGATTTTGCTGGGATAAGAACATAGAATAGCATAAGTTGACACTGACCAGCTCTGTTATGTCTACATTATGTTGCCTTCTTTGCTCTCTTTTCACAACTGGCTGGAGAGAAGGCAGACAGAGGTTACGAAAGAAGCAGCAACTGTTGCAACCTGGCATTTGCCACCCTTCTTTACTGAGCCCATGTGTTTTTTGCCACAAACAACAGTGCCCCACACCCCACTGCACCCAACTGCCACCAACTTGTCCACTGAACCTTGTTGCTCGGCCTACCTACTCTTCTGCTATCCTCTGCCAAAATCAGAGCACTCTAGATTACCTTTCTGTCCAGTAAGGTTTCTTAAGAGAAAAACCAGCTACACAAGTTTACCTGGGGATATGGTAGGGACCATCATGTAATAAAATGACTTTCAATTGCTATCAATAGAGCATTAAACACCATTTACAGAAATTTTGCAGAAGCAAGATCAACAGTTTTCTGACAGCATGAGGTACAAATCCAACTGGGAGCTGCAAAACATAGAAACAGTCAACCAGAAACAGTTTTAAGTGAGACAGACATAAGGTACAGAGAGATAACTGAAATAGCTATCATGAAAGAAGAAATAGATTTTACAAGAGGAGGTAAGTCACCTCAGTATCTCAAGTGCAAAGGCTTGAAGAAACAACCTTAACACACTAATGTTTTAGCAAGTCAGGCATACATAAGATACATGCCCATAATGGGCACAATAAACTACTGACTAAAAACATCAATAAGCAACAGTTTTAAAAATCACAAAAAATAAAAATGCTGCTCCTGATGTTCCATGCGCAGTCTTAGACTACTAGCCAGCAAAGCATTTTTTATACCAGATCACTTTGAAAGATAATTCTGAACTTGAATTTCAAGTGGATTCCTTTAACTTCTTAATGCTATGTCTACACTTTCAGTCAAAACTGGAATTAAGTTTTATCAACAAACACAAAAGAACCTTTCTAATAAAGGCAAAAGGGAGCACCAAATTACTAAATTCAAAGTTAGAAAACACATGAAATATTCACTCAAAATATGGGACAGTCAATGTTCACCACTGCAATATCATCTAACTCAGACACAGGATTTCGTATATCATGGTCACTAGTGCAAGATGCCAATGGGAAAGGCTAATATTCTCTATGACACCACCAGGCCACTAGTAAAATCCTTAAATTCTCATGCCAAGAAAGCTACTTCTCTCAGTTGTCAAAATTTAAAAATGGCCTTAAAACAGAAGGTACAGTCTTTTAAGACAAAGAAGTTAGTCACAAAACAACTGTGAACGCCTACAGAATATCTACAAACTTTTTATGCTTTTTAACAGTGACTAAGGAATCAATGAGCAAATACAGCTTTCAGAATTCACAGCAGGAACCCAAATACTAAGCATGCAATCCCACAGTAATTTAAACCCATTTAAATTCGAATGTGGTCTTCCTCATCAGTGATCATAAGCTCTGCTCTTTTGTGCATGGACAGTTTTGCACTTTCCAGTGAGTGAGCACTGAACAACTACCAGGAAACAGTATTTGTTCACCTTTGGATCAGTTCTCCAAACCAGCTGCCACCTCAATAAATGCCAGAAAACCTTTACACCAAGCCACCAAAAAACCCTGCTGTCTACAATGACCATGTTGCCTGCCTCTTCTTTTTTGGGAGAGTTAGTTGGCCTGTCACCTACCACCTCACACTTTCCAAGTCCCTTAACTTCCAGGAGGATCTGCTCCAGGATCTTGCCAGGCACAGATGTGAGACTGCCTGACCTCTAGTTCCCCAGGTCTGCCTTCCTTCCCTTTTTAAAACAGAGGTTATGCTTCCCTTTTTTCATCAGTGGGAACTCAAATATGATGGATGGCAGCTTAGCCACTTCCTCTTCCACTTCCCTGGGGACCCACAGATGTATCTTGTCAGGCCCCACGGACATGTGCACTTTCAGATTCCTCCAAGAGTCTCAAACCTGATCCTCTCCTAAAGTGGATGGTAATTCTCCCAGCCCCTGCCTTTACCTTCTGTAATTGTGGTTGGAAATCCTGCGGGAAAAGACCATGGCAAAAAAAGTCATTAAGTGCCTCCAGCTTCTCCATATCCCAGTTAGCCAGGTCTCCCATTTTCTTACACAGAGGGCCCAAATTTTCCCTTGTCTTCCTTTTATCACCAACAATACAACTTTAGGATTCCCAACCAGAACCCTAGCTGCTCAGACAATCTCACCTCTCTCTTCCTCCCACACTATATTTATTTGCTTCCTCCTTCTCTGGGCTTTGTTTTTGTGTTTGAATTTGTCCAGGAGTTCCTTTTCATCCATGCAGTTGGGGAAGTTTTGTCCTTCTTTTGGTTGGGATGCACTGCTCCCAAACTTGGAAGAAGGAATCCTTAGATATTAACATGCTTTCCTGGGCCCCACCTCCCTCTGGGGTTCTATCCCATGGCACTCTACCAAGCAGATCCTGGAAGAGGCCAAAGCCTGCTCTCCTGAAGGCCATGGCAGTGAGCTTGTTGTGTGTCCTCATCACTGTACCAAAGATCTCAACCTCCACCATTTCACAGTCACTGCAGCCCAGCCTGCCCTTGACCTTCACACTCCTCACCAGCCCCACAAGCCCTAGGCTGCAAACACAGATTGCCAGTTCCTGACAGCTTTTCATCTGTAAGAAGTCCAAAGCCCTTCTCTGCAGGGCTGCTCTCAAGGAGTTCTTCTCCCCAGTCTGTATTTTTGCTGGGGATTGTTCTGACCCGAGTGCAGCATCTTGAACTTCATCTTGTTAAACATCATGAGATTCCCATGGGCCCACTCCTCAAGCTTGTCCAGGTTCCTTCAGATGACACCCCATCCTTCAGGTGTGTCAACTGCACTTCTCAGCTTAGTATCATCTGTAAATTTGCTGAGGGTGCACTCAGTCTCACTCTGTCAGAGATAACAATATTAATTTAAGAGCAACATTCCATGATAGAGCCCTGAGGGACATGACCTGTCACCAGGTTCCATCTGGACACAGAACCATTGGCCACAACTACTTGGATGCATCCAACTAACTGGATGAAGCCAATTCTTTATCCACCAAAAAGTTCACCTTTCAAATCCCTCTCTCTCCAACGCAGAGATAAGGACGTCATGTATGACCATGTCAAAGGCCTTCAGAAGTCCAGATAGATGATGCCAGCCCTTCCTCGCTGACTGTTATGATCACTCCATCACAGAGGGACAACAGATTGGTCAGGCACATCTTGCCCTTTTATAAAGCCAGGATAACCAAAGACACTCATCTGCTTCCCCAACAGATGGAACACATCAGTCCCCAGAGGACCAGGTTTCTCAGAGAGTCCCCTGGTCTAAGAAGTGAAATTCCCTGCTGTGGCACAAGGCCTATAATAACCTGCTGATTGTCCAAACACAACTGGCCCTTTTGACCCCCTTTGTTTCTCACTGGGAGGATGGATGAAAAAAACTACCTGCAAAAACTAGCTGCTGCAGAGTGTCTTATGGCCAAACCCAGGGCTCTGTAATCCCCCTTGATGCTGTTCAGACTGCTCCTGGCTGTACCCCTTGTGTCTCCATGAAACAACAGCAGGAAGTAACAGTCAGTGGACTGCAAGAAGCCTGGTAGTCTCAGTGACATCCCTGACAAGAGCCCCTGGTAAGCAGCGCACCTCTCTAGAAAGCACAACATGTTACCAAAGGGGTGCCCCTGCACCTCTCAGAGGAACCTCCTACAACTGTCAATTGCTGCCTTAGTCTTTGCATTTTTCTTCTCCTGAATGAATTCTAGAAACGTCAGCACTTATATCCAGCCGAGGCAGGTGGCAAGTATTTCTGTTTTCACTAAAACCTACTAGGAGCTCAAAACACTCATCACAACCACTTCTCCACTCTGGTACCATCCATGTGTGGCAAGAATTGCTCTCCACATTCACACCATTTCTTCCCCCAAAGAAAATGCACACTACATGGCAGCACAAAAAAGGTGTGTAGAAGCACAACTCAGATGGGCCTAGCCCATTAAATTAACAACCTATTCTGCAGAAAATCACATCTGCTGAGCTTGTAGACCTAAATCCATCCACTGCAACACAGGTGCTTTATTTAAAAATTCAGATTTTCAGGGTTTAAATTAGAGGAAGTTAATTCAAGGTTAAGAAATGGCCCAAAGAACAGCTGCAAGAAAAAGGAAATGAAGACTGGAAGGGCAAGCAACACTCTAAATTTGTGCTTATTTCTGACTACACAGTAAGTGAACTGCCTCATCTCTGCTTTGGCAGTGCCATCCTCCCAGCAGAACCTAGTTGACAGAGGCTTATTAATCCTTCAGAGATAAGAAGGTAAAGTGCAGAAACTTTATATTCTAGGTACTCCATATTACCAGAACAAACACCCAAGTTGGATTTAATAATTCAAATTACTTTTGTCTTTATTAGTCACCATAAAGCAAGAAGCAATTAATCAGTTTTATATACTGCATTTACTCTAGAAAGCATTTTTACAATTCATGCTGAAAACTTTCAACTCTAAAATTACATTTAAAGGAAAACAGGTGACTTGTTACATCTAAACTACGATAATCTCAAAAAAAAAAGCACATGACAGTTTCTTAACTATTGCAGAATGAGGCACAGCAAAACTAAGCAAACTTCAAATTCTGACTTCCAAAAGGTCTGCTCCACATTCATGTTTTATAAAAAAACAACATTCTCCTTAGTTCTGGCAAAAATAATCCAAGACATGTCCTGTGCCAACTGGGCTAAGCTTTTAAACATAGGGAATATTTATACAAGCAATTCTGGATACAGAAATTCAATTTGTTCAAGGATAGCATACTTTTTATGTTAAAAACAATGGAAAGAGATCAAGAATACAAACTGGACTATAATCAGATATCTATGAGAACGATAAGTTGTTTAATTTTCCTATACAGCCGGCAGACAAAACAAGAGCTGGAATTAAAACACAGCAATTTTCCTTTCATTTTTATATCTGTTTTGTAGAAAAAAATCCCTGGCAGAACCCACATTTATGGAATGCTCATGTTGTTCTGGAATACCAAAGTAAAGAGATAAACAGAAGCACAAGCAACAAATCTATCTTGCCTTTGCAAACCAGGAGAATTACTATACCTCAGTCTATAACAATTTCTATGTTGAATCAAAAAAAAAGCCCAAAAGCCCACCTACCTGTTATTCCTTTATAAGCCATGGTCAATTAGATATCCAGGGAAGAGCACATGAACTGAAATCACAGTGTAGTTTCTTTGGATGTTTTCCTGATCTTCAACTATTTGTGGCTTTGACTTCCTTAGTCAAAAATAATTTACACATAACAAAACCTTTGGTGGTTTTTCTTTTTCTTGACTGTGGTTCCTTTTTAGGATGAAATTTCCAAATCTTTTTATGTATACATTTCCTGCGCCACATTATCTTACTGAAAGGAGTTCTTAGATTCACTTCATGTATGAAGAACCAACTCTTTAAGTTCATCTTGAAGCAGTAACCTGCTGATCTCATTTCATATTCTCTCTATTGCATACTTGCTTGGCATGATCAACTGATGACCCCACAGTAGTTTAACAGAGCTCTACCATACATGCACACAGTCCTCTCTTGCAGGCAGAAAAATCCTACACTACTTGTCCCCTACACCCCATAACTGCAGACTTCCCAGTACCTTCAAAAGCCTTCTAGCTCTACACCCTTTTTTTTTCCTCTCTGCATCCTTTTCAATATGAAGAAGAGGAACTGGGAGAATCAGACCTGCACTTAAAATTGAAGATGCAAGAACCCTAAAAAAACAGCAGCTTAAAAATAACCCATGCTTGTAGTTTGTCAACTTGTATACAACACTACAGGTGATTAAAACACAAATAAGAAAACGTTTCTATAGCTGATAATCCTAACACATAACCATCTGCCTTCTTAATTTCTTCAGGAGATTCCATTCTAGACAATCGCAAATCCTGGCTAAACTGACAAATATAATCACTTTGATACAATTACTACTCATCACCATTACTGTATTTCTTACATTTAAATTAGGTTCATGCAAGAAATTCGGTTCTAAAAAGAAGCACAGATGAGAAGGCATCTTAAAACAAGATATTCCCTGACTTCAATACAAAGTCTACACTCTTAGTTTACCAAGCAAAGATTTCGCTTAGAGCAATTACAGCTGAGACGTGTCCTGTTACATATGCTGTGATATATTTTTACATTCTGTTAATCAGTCAATAATTTGTATATGCTTCAAATCCCTGACGCCCTGCATACCAGCACACAGTGGTGTTTGCACTCTGTTTACCTACTACCCTATGAAATTACAAGGAACATGACACGGTCATTAATGGAAGATCTACTGTCCGATTAAACTAGAGCCTTACACACCAAATGTGAAATATCCAGTATAAAGGTTTCTCCCTCTCAGTGAACAGCACACTATCACCTCTGTGTCAATCCCATTTTAGCCATTTTCAGTTGCTTATCATTTTTTTTAAATTATGTTTTTATTCTGTGAAGGAGTAATACATATGATGGCCCAGCAAATCCCCTAGAAGGCAGCCAGTAAGATAACTCCTGCCTGAGAAGGTAGCTTAAAATAGTGTGTTGTTCAGATAATTAACTGACCCCTTATTTCATATCCAGTGCCTAGATTTCTACACACACACTGCATGAAACATTGCTAAAAATGGGTTCTGTGGTGACTACCAGCAATCTGTTTACTTTCAGCTGAATTGTGTTATCTCTCATTTCACTATTCTGTGTAACAGAAAAGAAAGACTACAAAATAAATTGGCAGGAAGCTTTTTATTATTATTTCTACTAATATTCAAAGAAAGAAGGCCGCGTATCCCTGAAATTATAAGAACCGAATTACACAGATTTCTAAAACTTCCTGAGGATTTCAAGGGTTTGCACTGTAAAATTAATCAGGTATTTCCTACCATGGAATACACACACTTGTAATATAATGATCCTATAATTGGCCAACAGGTTTATCACAGACACTTCATTAATATACTTTGCTCACAGTACAGTCTAAAATCTTTAGGAGAGACATATAGTAATACTGTGTACACGAAGCCAGTGAATAGAAACTCTATTTTTCTATTAGAAACTCAGTTTCTATTTCTTCAGTTAGACAGGTCATTTTGATATGATTATGAAGTTTGAGATATACAATATTCATCTAGAAAGCTACAGTTTTGACAACAAAAGCAGTGTATGGTTTGTAAGGTTAGAGCAAAAACCACTGAATATGAAATTAATATCTAAGTTTTACTGAACCATTTTTAAAAAGTCCTACTTTTGTAATTATAATCTGAAAATAAAGGATTATTTTATTACATATATTACATTAAAACTATGCTAAAAGAATAGAAGAGAGGATAAATGGCTAAGAACAGAATAGCAAAATGATAAGAAAGAATAGAATAAAGAATGACAAAAATAAAGGATTATTTTATAAAATAAGTAACTGCAAGACTCACATTCTATCTACTGAAAGTGTAAACTGTTAACATATCAAAAATCATAGCTGTGACCTATACCACACCTTGTCCTGCAGAGCTAATTTTCTGCACACACCATTGGGTTTTTGCTGATTAACAGGCACTCTCACACACAAACCTTTGGAAGTTACTTCTTTGCATCTTTGTACACCTTCAAGATGCAGATCTGGAGACAATGAAGCTGGATGTGCCTGTCTCTGAATGCCTTGTTACCCGACATTCCAAAGAGAAAGGAGTCCTTTGAAGGCAGAATTTTTCTTGAGTCAGACAGTACTTACTAAGTACATTAGTTCTGCTATAGATTTCGTCAATTTAACTTATTTAATACACTCATCCACCCATAATCTGCACCATACATGGATTATTTATTTTCATTCCTCCGACTTTAAGGAAAAACAAGCCTCTATCCACTGCAACCAGTGAAAATCCAAATCAAATACATATCACCTGATTCCACATCCAATCCATTATCCCACCTCCTCTACATGATAGGATTGGAGCTGTACCTACAACTCCACAGTACTCCTTCCCCACAGTTCTCATCAGCTCTTCCATGTCGAATTCCTTTTCATAGCAAAATGTCTCTAAGGTGGCTTGTTCTTTCTCTGATTGGCTACCAAAAGCAGAAGGCAAGCCTGACAACCAGAGACACCGCAAGGAAATGCTACAAGAAAAGGTACACCAAATTCTTCCCCAAGAGCCATACAGATGGAATCTTGTGCTCTCCTGATGCTGAAGTACATCTTGAGGAACCCTGAGTGAGCACACTCCCACTCACAGGAAGCTGGCATGAGTCAGTCTGGGAAAACAGCTCTCCATAGCCAGTGCACAGCTGCCTGCCACACAGGAAATTACCATAGAAGTGATCTCCGTCAATTTTTTTAAAGTTGTTCCAACACCAACAAATGATAAAGTGTAAGGGAATGGGATGTAACCAAGCACAAGGTGGCTGAAGTGCATATGGAATCAAAGGATAAACAAAAAATGCTTAAGAAGAAGCATTTAAAGAAACAAATGGGAGAGTTCCTTTTCAGGACACGAAAGCAGAACCAGTCCCACAACAATGCCACCATCTCACCTCTCCCACGGCCACGTTTCCCACGGTCTGAAGGCCTGTCTCCTTGATTGTTGTCCACTCCATTCTCTTCAGCTCTAACTGTGGAGAGAGGACAGCTTAAGAGAAGAGTTAGAGATTGCCACTTGAGACAATACAGCCATTTGCTTAACCTGAACCCTTCAAAACAAAAGGCAAAATTTTCAAGTGAGATGGTCAACAGATCTCAATTACCCCTCTTCTTTGAGGCCTTGCTAGAAGCAATTTATGCTTCCTTGTTTCCTTTGTACTGGACAATTAGAAAGCAAAATATAAGAAGGAAAAGTCCATCAGGAGACAAACCTCTACAAGCACCATGTTTTGCAGTCTACACTATTTAATGAGATAGGAAATACAGCTGCCTTATTCTGTGTTTCCTAGATAATGCACTGGTTGACAACAGTGAAAAAATAAACGATAACCAGTAACACCAACTCTTCTCCTTTTTGCCCATACTGCATCCCTGTAGAAGAATGGAAACAGACTTCTCCTCTGTATTTAAAGCAATGATGACTGGGTGAAGGTAAGGGACTAAAAAAGGTCTGCAACCTAAGTGGTTTGTGGTAAACTCATGACAAGGTGCTTTGAAATACAGCTGGCTACTTGAAGGAGAAAAAAAACTCCAATAAAACTGGCCTCTTGAAACACTCACTGCTGAGACTTTGTACTGCATTTCTCCTAACAGCAACAATAAAACCAAAAATGCTTGGATATAAAGTTGGGAAGAAAAAAACCAAGATTTGGTAACCACCTGAAATTTCTTTAATTCTAGTTTACAAAAAGAGAAAGGCAGCATCTGTCTCTAGTAAAAAAAAATTGCCCTTTGCTTTCATTTTGATTGATTTAATATACACTTTTCTAAGTCCAGCTCCATGTTTTATTAACATTTTTTCATCTTGACTTTACTCTATCCTACAAAAATTCACAGCATCTATATTGGCACAATAGTTGAATATCTTCCAATTATGAATAACATGAGTTGGCTAATACTGTAAATGTTTTTCCTGCTTATAAGTGCAAAGCTAAACATATTGTATCCATTCTGATTTCTTTTCTCATCCATCAGTGTGGCAAACAGCCAATACAGACAATGTGCACAGCTTTGAGAATGCTGACAAAACTTAGCTAAAAAAAGCAACATGTATCCGATCATGATCTATTGTGACTCTCTCTAACTTGGAAACATCAGTTTGCCTTTGTACAATGTATTACTGCAACTGTAGCAAAGCTTTCAATGTTTCAACTAACAATGAATTTTCTCTGTTGCAGAAACTCACCTTTGGTTGATTTATGTGAGAAATATATTTAGAGATTAATAATCATCCCAGTGTTTTCATTCCCCTTATGAGAAGATGAGAACATCTTCAGGTTCTCCCACTCATAAAAGGAGATGGAGTCAAAGCTGGATAATTTTTTCATTAAAAGAAATAAAAAAGTGTATCAGCTGTGCAGCAACATACTTGTTCTCATGCAGACTTACAAAGAGTCAATTCTAAAACTTACATGAAGAACAGCAAATTGTACAAGACCAATTAATCAAACAAAACCAGAGACTTATGTTACACTGAGTGTCTCTGAACAAGTACAGACCATCCCAAAACCAAGTCACATAGACAGACCAAGCATACCTGTGGCACAAACAAGTTATGATCCCTTCAACGCTGAGCTACAGTCAGACGGACTTTGCTCCATTAAGCACTCGCTCTTAGCTCACTCAGTTCCAGCTGCAAGAAAAGCGTCTCAATCTTTAAAAATTAAGCCCTATACGTACACTCTCGTCCACGGCTGCCTCCTCTTCCCCGTCTGTTGGAACTTCCCCGTCCGCGACTCACTTCTCTGTCCCCTCGTTTCTCTCTGTTCTCTTTGTTTTCTGAACCTTCCTTTCCAAGGCTTTTCTTCTTTCCCCCTACAGTCTCCCAAGAAGTCTATTTGGTAGAATAGAATTAGACACAAAAGTCAAAAAGGAGCAGACACCTCTCAATGCACACTTTCTACCCCACACCCCTCCAAGTCCATGGAAAAAACCCAGGTATTTGCATAATGTCACAAATGCAAATGACACTGATATAAATGGAAAGACAGGCTGTATTTTTGCAAAGAGATGATAAAAAAAAGGTTTTTAAGTTTGATTGTCTTAGGGAATATGAGAACCCCAAATATTTCTGGCTGTAATAGACTTTTATTAGTTCAAGGAAGACTGGAAGTATTGTAACACAGAACATCTGCAAGGCACACAACAGTTTTCCTCTCAAATACATCCATAAATCTAGCATGGGAACATGAACAAAGCTATCTTTTTCTCCCAGGGAAATGAAAAAGAAAAAAACCAAAAAACCCTTGTAAGTATCATTGAACAAAAGATTGATGAGACTAAGTATCTGGCCTAAGAGGAGGAAAAAAAAAGCGCCAAACAGAAAAGAAAAACTTCTCATCCAGGCACACTAGAATTTAAGCCCCAGAAGACAGAATGGCAAAACAACAGCTTGGGAGAACTGATGATAAGCCAGATCATCCACTCTTAACAGCTATAAACCATCAACCATAGCAAAACACAGGAAAAGGTATGTCTAAACAAGACACGGGATGAAGGTCCAAATATCAGGCTTCTGTTTTAATCTTAAACTCAGTTTCAAAATAAATTCAAGGACGTTATAAGCTCCACAGGAGTATCTGTAGGAGTTGAAAATAAAATGACTAAAACACTTGCCAAGAATAGCTCAGCAACTCATATATTATGCAATTCCATGGTTAGTCTATTAAGCCATAGCTGCAAAGCAAGTAAGAAGAAGAAAAGGTATTATTTGCAAATCATTAAGATGGCAGGGAGGTTTACATGTATGGCCCCATTTCCAGGAGCTTACAGCTCAAATAAGACATTAAATATCAGAATATTTGCACATACAAATTGTTGTGAAGCACTGAAGTATGACGTATGACAGGTACCTACATCAAACAAAAAAGGTTGTCTACCAGTAATTTTAAGTCCTGTCTTATCTCTCAATTCCACCAACTGCAACTCAGCAGCCCTGAGGAGCCAGACCATGGCCAGCTAGTTCAAGCTGCCTGGGAAGCCAGTGCAAGGAAGAAAGCAGGTAACAAAGCAGTTTACAAACACAGTGTTACAAAGTCTCCTTTGAGAGAATAAGAACAAAGAGAACTGTTACTCTCTCATTTTTTGGCATAGCACTGGTGAGAAAGAAAGGTGAAATCACTTTGCAGTTCCACCTCCAGTATAGAAGATTAAACCAACTTTGGTGAAGTCCAGTCAGAGCTGACCAGAGGTACAAAACTAAACACATTTGAACACCACCACCTTATCTGTGTGGCAGAAAGCTGCTTCCCCGAGTAAGTACCACATGGCATCACCTACCACAGCTGGTGTAACTGCACTGAAACATTCCTAGTGCTTCACACACCTCTCAGGAGGAAAGATACCTGCACTGACAACTGAACAGCCAAGTCTGTAGAGTTCAGAACGCACTAATTCACTGATGGGGTTGGTGCCAAAATATCTTTGACCATTTCAGGAAACACCCAAAACTGCATAAGGCTGCAAAGATGAAGAGGAAGCAGCTTCTCCTGAGTGAGATTCAAAATAACTTAGGAAGGATCAGTAAAAAGATGATCACGAAACCATCAGATCCATGCTTTCCCACAATACAATTTTGAGGAAAGCCTTAAGAAAGTCAGCATGACGTTTAAAATAGAGGATGGTGCTGCCTCTGAGCATGGGGATCTGTCACACATTGAGCTCTCTCTTTCCGAGGGAGGTAACTGATTAAAGTTTTCAGCTGACAATGCCTGAGGCAACCCAAATGACAGCAGTGGCTCTGACCTTTGAGAAAATCTGTAACAGATAATTCTTGTTGTCCTGTTCTTACATGGAAAGAATAAAAACCTGGAAGGTCTGTTTTGTTCTATATTCAAAGGTTTAGTAAGTAAGACACAGCTGAGCATAAAATGGATTTAAGAAGTTAAATAAATAGAAGCTTAGGCAAAGAAACCACGTCCTTCTCTACTCATACACAAGCCTCTAACTAGCCCAAGCCAGACTGCTACAACTGCTGCAAAAGGAAAGTCTTTACAAAGTCACACACTTACAGCTTGTAGATCACAGCTTTAAACCCCCAAAGCAAACAAAAAAAGACTAATACAAAATTGGCTGAGTAACAAATAAACTATAAATAGACATTTTAACTATCACTCCTTACTCTTCAAATTCCTTCAGTTGAATGGACATATTTTTCAAATTAAGTTTAAAAAAACTGCAAGTGCATCAAAGTAGAGTGAGACTAGAAAAAGAGATTTGAAAATCTTCATTCAGAATGTGTAGTACCTCAGCTTACAACTTTATGTCAAATCCATGCTTAAACTGTTCTCAAGTAAAATGTCCTTAAAATAAATCCTTCCAACTGGAGGCCCACAAACTTTCAAAAATAAAATTTTTCACCCATCAATTAATACTCCTTCTTCCTTGACTCCTTCAAGTTCTCTATATTTGTTTCTGAGTTGTATTTTGTCTACAGAGAACAGTGGGTTAAGAAGGACTTGTCAAAAGTGCAGAACATATCAGTATCACTTGTAGCTGAAGAATGAGTTCAGAAAGCTTTTTCTATGACATGATCAGTTGCAACAAATTGCTAAAGTAAAAAAGGATTTAATATTCTCTATCAATCAGAAAACTACTTTCAACTAAAAAATGGCAAACATGGTAAGTCTGAGAGAACACAGCATATAACCCAGACAGATTTAAGTGAAATGGTCTCCTCTATTCCCAGTCTGTCAATATCACACACTTCTGTGTTTAGAAGACCTCATCTCTGATAAAAAATTATAAGGAGATAGAAAAGAAAGTTCCCTCAGTCAAAATAGTGTGTGTCCCAGATTAAGGGTGTGGGAGGGGTGAGTTTCCTCATTAACAATAAACCAGAGTACACATCCTGACAAATCACAGGAAATACTGAGTGTTCAACACCAAGAAAGGAAGTCCAGGTTACCTTTCCAATTTGGATGAGATAGAAACTAATTTAAAAACAAACTGTAAGAAATCTCTCCAGCAAAAACTTCAACTGCAGTAAAATGTATTTTCTTAGTATCTCTTGAGAAAAAAATTCCACTGTGCAACTTTTTAAGCTAATTATTTGTTGTTGCATACACACAGTTTAGTCTCCTCCTCCTGTGTTTCAATTAAGTCATGCAAATGAGCAACACAGTTAAAGAAGCAACTACTTGTTGCATCCTTTCCTGCCATAAGTAGCATTACCAATGCAACTTGCAGATGTGGACACCTCCTCCAACTTCAAAACTGGCAACCCACACCTATGGAATGTGCATAACTTAAAATACCTGCCTGCCCTTGGGTTTACAAAGATTGACTTTTGTAATGGTCTCAGGCCTCAGGAGGGTCTACACAGGTGAGAAAGAAAGGTGAAATCACTTTACAGCTCCACCTCCAGTATAGAAGACTAAACCAACTTTGGTAAAGTCCGGCCAGAGCTGATCATAGGTACAAACTACAAAACTTGCAGCAAGAAACAGGCCTGTGTCTGAGGGAGCATGGAGTTCTGCTGCAGAGTCAAAACTGCTGTATATAAATGAAGGCATAGGAACTCTGCAATAGACCAGCTGAACACCCACAACATTTTCCAGATTCAGCCTTCCCCAAGGTATGCATGCAGCAGAGAAGCTGCCCTAGTTTCCATTTCCTCCAAAAGAAATTGAATGGAGACACGGAAATTGAAAATTTGTGAAACATTACTTTCCCAATGTCCTTCTAGAAGCTGAAAATCACAGCAGACAGAAGGCGTAGTTTAACATGGAAGTAAAACTTACTGTGTCTGAACTTCCTTCCAGCAGTATGTTGATTGCTCTGTTCACATCCCCATTACAATCATGTAGTGCCACTATGCATTCATCCTGGTTTTTCCCCGTCACTTCCATAAGCTGGCAGTAAAAGTCAGACATGTTAAAATATCTAAATTACCATCATAAGAAAGTAAGATCTAGTATGACCACAAATTACAACAAAGTGCATAGCTACTATGTCAGAGTAAAACTAATATCCTGAATAAAGTAATCTGCACTGTACAGATCTGCTTGGGATTCAGACAAGAGAGGAAGAAGCACAAATTAATTGGTAATCAAGGAAGTACTTTTTCACACTGTTTCTGTTCTGTATGCTTGCAGCAAATGCTGCCAGATCAACAGTACGTTAAGTGTAAAGGACAACAATAGTTTCAGTATCATCCTATCTCTTTCTCCACTAAAACTGCTCCTCTTTATCCCAGTGTGAGAAAAGACATATAGCAAGGCATGGCAGAGAACAGATCTGTCTGGAAAACCATCCAGACTAAGAAATACACAATCTTTCAGACAAACTAGCTCCCTTGATCCACTTCAGCGTAAGGCCACACCAGAGTCACAAAGGTGATTAAGGAGATCTAGTTCTGAATTATGCTCCTTGAACTCATGGTGTATATCCTGAAGAGTATGTGTCACAGGCCATTCAGGAAATTCATCTAAAGAACAAAACCTACATGAGCTAGAAATACATACGCAGAAGGTAAAACAAATTCTATGCAGAACTTAATTCATCTCCTTCCCACCAGCACAGCCACAAGCACTACTGATGAGGGTCCTTTGGCTTCACAAAGCACAAGATACCATTTTTGGCAGGGCAACAGAACTAGTTTGTAACAAGAACAACAAAAAGCATTTAACAGTGCTTCAGAGGAAGTTTTAGAGATGAAAAGAAACCAAGAAATCTGCTCCTTTGCTGCATTTATGCGTTCAAGCTAATTCTTCCCTCCTGGGTGCATTCCTAGGTTCTTCATGAGCTGTGATGTATTCACCAAGACAAAATCACCAATAGCCACAAGAGACACCCATATTGTCAGGACTGCTTGAATTAATGGTCTCAGGTGTAAGTAGATAATGAAGGGTTGATTATTTAACACCCAACACTCACCATGGTAAAGGAAGTGAGAGATTTCATTTATACACTGTAATTCTATAATTTTAATGCATACATAGATCTGTGAGGTAAGATTATTTATTTTTTAAAGTAACACCTTGATTTATCTTTAAGCTATCATTAGACTTTTACTTTTCCTGAAAAACTTCCGAGATATTAGCAAACTCAGCTTACACAGGTGATGTTTTTCTCACATGCACTTCAGGACAAGCTGAATGCATTCTTTATTCTGACAATCATTAATCATCAAGACCATACTAGAGATACACTGAGGAAGAGACATCAGCACAAACGAGGTTTGGCTTAAGGGTTTGTCTACAAAGCTTTGTCTACATAGTTTCCTACACTGAAAACTACACCATCAGAGCTGTATTACCACAAAATTTCTCGTAAAAAGACTTTACAGTGCAATAAGAGCACCTTTTCTTAGTTAAACTTATGTCTTTCTGAAAAAAGTTTCATCTAACCCAGAAACAGCTGCTCTACCTCAAAATGGAAGCCAGTTCTAGAACATTTTATAATGGGACAAAAAAATTTGTACCAATAAGAAACATACTTGTTTCACTTTATCTTCAAAATCTGCGTCATTCTTATCGTAGATCATCTGAGCAAGGCGAATCTGTTCTGCTGTTGCCTGAAAAAAAGATAATATCCAATAAAGTACACAAAAGGTAACTATACTTTTTAGAATTACATCCCAGTGTCCTTGCTTTTTCCTATGGGTTCTCAAAAAGAACATAACACAACAAGCACAGAGATGATGTGGGGGAGGGATCAATATCTTGTCCATTCCCATTTATAGTTTTAAATGTTATTTGGGACAGAAGCAATTTTAACAAATTCTAATCTATTTGAAATACAGTTAAAGGTCGCTGTACTGACAAGACTACCATATAATACCACAGAAGGACCAGGGAAGACTACATTTTAGCTACATTAATGCTTTCACTTTTATTTAAGATCTACTACTCCAGTATTAAGAGTTTTATTGTAACAAGCTGGCAATAGTATATCTAAATTAACCGCATCTCTGATGATCCCTGCTTCCATCCCCTTCCACAGTTCTCCCAACAACAATCTGACTCTGTAGTTTTATTGAGCACTTAAAAAGACCTGGGTCATGTCTCAAAACATTGCCCATGAACAGCTGCACTGGTTTTTTCTACAAGTGAATACTGGTCTCAGGAAACTGGTAAAGCAACTTGCTATTGATGAAGTACCTGGTGCTTCTGCAACATTTCTGGACAAAAATGCACACTGGCAATTTGCACAAAAGCTGAGACTAAAGGAGATGCAGTCAAGTACAAAAAGTCCAAACACACTACGGCTGCCCCTGAGAGAGAAACGACTCTAACACATCACACACATCACTTCACAGTGTGGCATTTGCAGCCTATGAACTCTACTCCCAAGAAAATACCAAAGAACAGTGTGCACTACAAGATCCTGGACCTCATTTGACTTCTGCTCAAAGAGAAGAGGCTACTGTTGCACATAGAGAAAGCTGATACTGAAGAGAGCTAGGACCCACTATGCAGCTGCTGAGCCTGCAGAGGTTCTTCTTTCTCAAGTGGGATCAGTTCATCTGCTGGAATTTTTGATGGAAAGGATTCACCCTAAGCAGCTGGCTCAATCTCACCTTTTGCCATCCCACTTCACAGGATACACACATGAAATTCTGTGCCTCACAAGGTTAGATCTAATCAGAGTCAGACTGTTTGGCTTTCAGAGTTTACCACAAATCCACGTTCTAGAGGAGGCCACCAAGCACAAATGCTGAGAAAAGTCTAAAAATTACTCCAACAAACACCACCAGCTGTTTATTTGCTGAAAAGTTACTGCAGCTGTCACAGTTCCTTGAGGGAAGTGACATCTGTGCTCAGAGACAATGCTCCAAGAGAATTAGCATTTGTAACAGTTGTACACTCCGGGTCACTTCACCTTTTCAGCCTGTCATGCTGACAGCCTCGTATGTCACTCCACTGGGTAAAAGGGGCTGCTCTGGAACTCCCCAGTTCCACCTTCCACAGAACCCTGTCAGTGCAGTGCTCTGAGCAAAGGAGGTTTTTCTTGGTGACTGCTGAGAACTCAGCAGACAGCAGAACCAAAATGTCTACTTTCTTCAGGAATTTAAGTTTTGTTGATCCATTTTCTCACTCTGATTACAGCCTTCACAGACACACTGAGACTTTTAAGCAAGTGAAGAGATTTTCTTTGAAGATATCCAGAGCAAAGACATTCAGACAATATAACTTCTGTAGAGATATGATGGCATATTTTACCAAAAATCAGGAATCCACTAAGATTTATTTCTTCCATAAACAAATGTTTTCTTCAAGCCCACGTTAGAAGACAAAAACATACTAATTCAAGTAGAATTACGAATATGTAACAGCATCTTCAGTTCTCCTGTGTAAGCAGAGAGCTTAAAAACTTGTAGGTGCAATACCACTCATATTTATGCCAGTGGATTACACCTAGATGGAACTGATGATTCAGAAGAAAAAAAGAAAACAACAAAAACCACCAGATGACTTCAAAAACATCTGACCACTGTCACAAAGAATTCTGGCCTTTCCTCCATGTAGTGGTTCTTTATTTTGAAGGCACCATTGTTCGAATGGATGCTCTAGCATCCTAACCAAGAGTATAATTAAGTTTTAATTGTGACTAAGAAAGTAGTAGTATTTCAAAACAGCCTGAACTTTACTCAACCTTACAAGATATAGTACCTTTTCAGTAGAAGAGTGGAAGAAATTTTCAACTAAAAGCTTCAAACTACCAGAAAACAGAAGTGTGCCAAACCCAAGATTAAGTGACAGTAATAGACATACATCTTACAATAAAAAGGCACATTTATTGTCCAGAAGCAATGTAGTAGAAACATGATGTAATTTGTTAAATAACTGAACATATGATCAATGTGATATTATGACAGTGGAGTATCCATTTGGGAAAATACTATTCTACATTCAGAAAAAATGAATCATTGGTGATTAAACAGGTAAATCCAGAGACTTCTGCTGATCTGCAAAGACTGACTAAGCAGAAAGGTTCATCTGGTATCTCAACAAATATATGGAGCATTAAAACATAACTACTATGTATAAATAACCACCTTCTCCACTGAAGTGATCGAACCAGTATCTATTATGCCAAAGGCAGAATAAAAGGACAAAATGCAGAAAATGTCTTAACGTCTAAAATCAATGAATCCCGTAGTTTGGAAAGGTCCTCCAGGGATACACCATGAACATACTCACAGTAACATTTTTTTACTTTTAAGAGCAGGAATTACCACTGTTCGAGCTTGTGCCACTTGGCCTCTGAGAATAGTTAGTTTCTACCTTTCCTATACCCTTTCATAAGGTACCTGAACAGAACACATTTGTCTTAGTGGGCTGAAAACACCCAGATCCGTGAGCCACCCCTCATTTCTCCAGTTTCAGTCTAACAACCATCTTTGCAGATTTTCACTGGGACTTCCTCCTATTTGCCTATGTCTACCTCGAACCAGGAAACCCAATCAAGCAAACCACTCCAGTGCTGTCTTGCAAAATGTTGGAAAAGGGGAAGCCACCACTTTTGCCAGGCTGCTCACTATACTCCTGCAGCCTTATTTAAAAAAAAAACCAAATTCAACTCACTTGTTGAAAGTCACTATCTAAATCCACACATTAGCATGAATCACCACTATGCCAAGGGCTGCAGCTCAAGGAGATAACCAGGGTTTGAGGTCACATGATTAATACTGTGAAAAACAGAGCAAGAGGGTCTCCATATTAAAGACTAGTCCAAAAAACAACAGAAGGCAGTAGTTCTCTATAGAGCTCATGTGTGTATCACCTCCAGACTGATGGACACAAGCCAGCAAAGAATGAGACAGTTTTTGAAACCAGACTAATTCTGAGATGTATCTGTCAAGAGAATACTGAGTTGCCAGAAGCAGAAACATTCTGCACTCTTTGTAACCCAGAGAAGCACGCAACTACTGCTGCCAAGAATCAGTAGCAGTAGGGTGAAACTTAATATCCATCTAACAGATACTGAAAATTTTAGTCTGCTAGGGGATGACCATTTCACTCGGTGGGGTCATTGCACAATAAATTTAGGATTTTGTGACTTGAAGAGACACTGAATCATGCTGTAGATCACAACACGCATCTAACGAAGCTTCTCCTGCCCATTCAAATTTCTCCCTTGATCAGAAATCATCTAGCATCAGGAGGCTGGCAGATAGAAGAGCTGAGATCTGAGGACTGTGAGGTCACAGGACAGAAATCCTGACACAGGCATCGAATTCCTCAGTGATAGGAGACATTGCTGAAGAACACAAAACTCATTTAAAGACAACACAGGAATAACTTAACACTGTGCTGCATAACTGAGCAATTAATGCAAGGAATCAAGCATAATCTTCCAAAATAAACCATGTATTTTCACCCCATCTTCTTTCAGCTTTTACTGACTCAAGGAAGAAACTTGTATCATTACATTCTCACTTTCAAGTCAAAGAAGTTGATACAGTAGCACATACCTGCACTACTTGTTTCTGTGGTTGTGTTGGCTGGGCGGCTGAAATTTGCATTTTGTCCCGAGTGCCCCGGGTACGTTCACTGCCCACCGAAGTCATCCTATACAGTATATACAAAACAATGTATGTACAAAATACAAAATCTGAAAGAAAAAAAAGAGCATGAGTTAAGGTAGATACTAATTCAAAAACCAAATAACATAAGTACAATAGTTTGAACTCCTGCCTTTACTACCAATTCTATACAGAGACTCATGAGAAAGCAGCTTTAATACACTGTTTTTGGATTTACTGCAGTTTTTAACACTAAAAGGGGAAATGCAGTGGATAGAAAGTCTTTTTATCCACTGACTGGAATCTGTGTCAATTTGTACTTCTAGATCTCACAGCTTTTTCTAGTTATTTATTATACAGACTTCTGTTAGCTACTCTGATTTTAGCTCCAGGTGCATCACTCAATTTTCTATAATACCTGCTGTCTAGTTCTGATGCCTGGAATTTAACTGCACTCACATTCACTCAGAACACTACACAAAAATCGTATTCATGAACTAGATACTTCCTCCTTTCCCTACTAACAAAACTGCTTTTCCTGCACATTCATGGAGGTCATGGCCAATTCCAACTCTGCTTCTCATCTTTCATTTATAAAAGAAATTATTATGATTAGGTTTAAATCCAGCCTCTAAAGCCAGTACTTTTGCTTTATTCTTCCTCATATTTACAGAAACAATTTATAAAACTACCTATGACCCTGCCTGCTTTAAACATACCATGGCTGTATGGCAACAGAGAAACCCCAAAAAAACCCCAAATCCACCCCCCACATCATTGTTACCCCATCTGTGGCTCTCAGCTTTCATACTTATTTGTTCTCTAGTACTAAAATTACTTTGAAACAAGACATTATTATTCCCCCTGTTTGTAGAGCACTTAGCACAGGACTAATCAATGAGCATGGTTTATTGCAGCTATGGCAACTGCAACAGATCTTTCAAATGGTTAGAATGCTCACGTTCAACTGCCTGGTTTCTGTCCCCAAAAGGTCAGAAAGTAAAACTGAAAATTTTTGCAAGTAAGGACAATTTGCAAGAGGTGTACCTGGGCAGAAGGAGACGTACAAACAAACAGCAAAGTGCTTCTGCTGCAGTTCCATTATATGAGCACGCCTCAGCACAAAACTTGCTAGGGCAACAGCTGCCCAGCACTGAGCTCAGTGCACAACAACCACAGAGTTACACAAGCTCAACTGGAAGGGACTCATCAAGACCACCGAGTCCAATTCCTGGCCCAGCACAGGACCATGCCCAAAAGTCACACCATGTGTCCAAAACTATTGTCCAAACACTTCTTGTGCTCTGTCAGGCTTGGTGCTGTGACCACTTCCCTGGAGAACCAGTTCCAGTGCCGAACCACCCCCTGGGTGAAGAACTTTTATTATAATAATCGAAGAAAAGCACCGATGACACAATTCCAGGCTATTCCCTCAGATCCTGTCACTGGTCACCACAGAGAGGAGATCAGTATCTGCCTCTCCTCCCTCCTCTTCCCCTTACAAGGAAGTTGTAGACTGCTATGAGGACCCCCTCAGTCGCCTCTTTCTTCAGGAAGATAAGCACACTGCAATCTCATGGACTGGGACCACTGACAGTCACAAGTAATGCACATTAAACAATTAAAGCTGCAATGAGATGCTTCAGTTTAAATACCAATTTATGATACTCCAAAGCCTTACCTACAATCAAAAGGACAATTAACTACATTATCACCTAAATCTCTTCTTTAAAATTACATTTCTATTGGTCAAAATTGAACCCTGACATTGAACTTATTTATGTACTAGCTAAAGCATTCAATAATGCTTTAATGTCTGAGAGGAAAGTGTATTTCCATAAGAAATATACTTGATCAGGAACTGACTGCAGTTATAATCTGTATTGGAATACTGTGTTTCTACAACTTTCTGAATGCACTGAACAAAGCTAATCTATGTCACAGTGTCTTAAAGCAATCTAAGTGCACTGTGTTCTAAGGCCCAGAACACACAGACCTTCAGAGCATTGTGTCTGACAAGAATGCCAGATACAGCCAAAACAAAAAGTTACCTGAGCTACTGACACCATGTTCTATGGAATGCAGCAAAGTATAAAGTAGATGTGGAGATGCTCTGGGCAGCAAATTGAACATTTATCACTGACTATCTGCTCATGGCCATTCACTGATACATTAAAGACATATGGACATTTTAAGCTGAGTCTGCAGTAGTATTATTTCAGCTGTTTATGTTAAAATCTGCTTTATAAGCTTTGATGACTGGACTTACAACAACCAAAAACTTCAATTTATATAGACTAATAACGACATTTGAGTTAGCTTTTTGTTTCATTGGGATCTTTTTCCAAGGATTCAGACTGCTTATCACAATTCAAACTAGCACAATGAGCAATGCAAAATACTCGGAATAGAGCACACAAGAGAGAACTAACTTCTCTGAAAGACAAGCTTATAGTTTCATATATGGTTGTCTAGAATCAGCCCATTGCAACTTAAGATTTGTTGAGAAAATAACTCCATTGGGTCTCAATTTGTTCATAATTTCTGAATTAACATCATATTTATTATGGTACCTAGGAATTTGGATATTTCTGTCACTGTGATTTCCCCCAATATCACCAAAGCAACTGAAAGTATGATGGATGATTCATATTTTAGACAGGACAGCAGGACACTTACAATAATTTTTTTCTGTGTGTTTGCAAAGCACGTGCTGAACTACACCCTACACTCTTTGGCAGCCAGGCAATCTGTGGTTCCTCATGCAGATTGCCTCTCTTCTTCTTTTCCTAGCATGTGTCTCCCACCATTTGTTTAAGCCATACTTTTTCTTCAAGATAAAAGGATACTTTAAGAAAAAAGGTAGGCACACAAATGGCTGAAACACTCCTGGGAGACAACATAGCCCAGAAAGATCACGCTGCTGTGGGAACAGCTCAATCAACCTGAACAGCTTAACAGGGTTTTTAAAGGAGATCTTCATCCTCCTGATTGTGCAGTACATGAGCAGCACTATTTGAAAGGTTAGAACCAAAAAAAAAAAAAAAAGCCAGCAAAGGCACAGGCAGCAGGATGGACTTGTACTTGCCTCAGGCAAGTGTGGAACCCCACACTTTTTGACAGTCCCTAACAAACCAACAAGGACATGCTACAATCCACCAGACATAATCTAGCCTTCTTAAAAGCACAATTGGCAGCCTGATAAAAAGAGAACTTTCAAAATACTGTAATTTTACTTCCTCCTAAGTTGGCTCCCACTGTCTACTGGCAGTGTCCAGACACAGCAGCTGGAGGGCTGTGCTCCACCTCAAGACACTGCCCTAAGCAGGAACACGTGCCTGAGGCTTCGCCAGCCACACCTACTGCAGAGTCAGGGAGGCACTGCCTCCAAATTATCACAGTGACAACAGTTTTGAGCATAAGTGGGATATTATTAATTAATTAGATGGGGCTGAACAAGAACATTTCCTTGCTCACAAAGCAGCTTCTTATTCTCTCCATCTTGTCGTTTTCATCAAGTCTGTTTGGCAGGCTGCTGTCACAGTAATGAGCAGGATATCACAAACTAATGAACTTAATTTTAACCGTAGATCAAATGAGGAAATATGATTTGAGACTGGGAAGAAGAAAACTCTTAATTAAAATCTATTTAATAAAGATTAAAAAAATATTCAGGCAAGCAGATGCTTCAGTTTCCATGTCAGCATCTGGTGCAGCGCAGAAGTCCCCCATCAGCAGTTAATACCTGACCTTGCAGACGCTGCAATTCTAATAAGTAACCAAAACAGCTGTATTTGAAGAAACATATAAAATATTAAATGAAACTAATACTATTTTCATCACTTTCTATATCCTAGTACAGAGCACTAGTGAAAAAAAGGAGAAAGTATTAAAGAGAGGGCTTCCCGAAATTGTATAAAGAAGTGCCTGCATTCTCATGACAATTAATGAATATGCACAAGATTCCTCTAAACTTTTTTCTTTTTTCACTGATGTAATAACCTAGTACCCACAGACCAAGGTTGTCTTTACTAATTTAAAAACAAACAAAAACCAAAACCCAAACAAAACTAACATTTTAAAATGCCTTTATCATCAGTTATGACTGCAGTTAAAAAATTTCCATTAAAAATGGAAAGCAACAGAAGAATCTATGATGAAAGCTACCTCAACTCTGTCTTTTGTTTTAGTTTTCTGTCTGTACAGCATGTTTTAGTCCAACGACCTATACTACAACTGCAGCACCAGAAATGTGTAACATGGAATGGCAAGGATTATTCTAGCTTAAAAAAGCAGTAACAAAAATATTATCCTTTAACCCTTCCTAAAACTACCAAATTCTCCACCTCCAAAGTCTTCACCCCTTGTCTTATCCAACACATTTAGTTGTGTTTCTGCTTTGGATTTTAAAAGGAAAAGAGAAAGGCAAATAATCAAAGATTAATTGAACACATATCAATAAAAATAGCAGGTTTTTAAAGCTATTATGATGTTTTCTGTGATATGTTGTTCTATCTTCCTTCAGCAAAAACTCTAAGCCTTTTAGACTTAGAAATCAGAAAACCTAGAAATACAGAGGACAAAAGTTGATTTGACATGGTTGCAAGCCCCCAAGATACAGGAAATCTATTACTGAACTTCCAGGAACAGACACAGCAATAGCAACAGCAACTGACTTTCAAGATTCCTCTAGAAGTTAAATATTCACTTCCATAAGTTGAAAAAAGATCTGCAGTTTCAAATGCTTTCCTGAGGCAGTCTCAAGTAAGTTACTTTCTTGATTCCTGGACAAGGAGTTGTGATAAACCATGGAAAGACCTCTCTGAACACCTTAAAAATGTGATTGCTTTTTTATATTCAAAATATAAAGCTACCAGTGAAAGATTTCTCACTGTGACAGGCTTGGGAAAAGGCTGCAGGACACTGCCTCAGGAGGACATAACTACTGTATATGCACAGCGAGCTCAGATTTTACTGCTCCAGCTGTAGGATTACATGAGCAGGAAGAAAAAGAACAGCAGAAAAAAATTACGTCTGCAAAGCATCGATGTAATGCATTTCCCCTGAGTGCTGTTGTCCAGAGCATCTC